TTTCATATAGTGCCATATCACATCATTTAGACATCTCAAAGTGCTTCACAGAATATATTGCAAAGTGGATTAATTGTGCGTGAAATTGGAAGCCAATTGTGCACAGCAGTGTCCCACAAACAGTTGTGGATTGAGTGACCAAATATCTTAATGATGTCAACATCTTTGTACATAGGTGTGAACCTGCATTTTTGGGGGGAATCTCCACGATCAGGTTGAATCAGGTGTAAGCCTGGCTCAGTTGGTAGCAGTCTCACTTCTGATACAGAAGGCTGCGTGTTGAAGCCTCATTTTGGTACCATGGACACATAGTCTAGGCTTACACTCTAATGTTATAACAATAATAATAATCCTTGCATTTGATATAGCAACTTATCACATCTTTGAGACGTCTCAAAGCGCTTCCCAGGTTACACTGCAAAGTGAATTGACTGTATTTTGTGGGCAAAATCAGTGTGGGGGTACACTGCATTGTCAGAGATGCTGCCTTTTTGGATTAGATGTTTCGCCCACAAAATATATTCTGTGAAGCGCTTTGAGACATCGCAATGATCTGATAAGGATCTATATCAAATGCAAGGATTATGATTATTATTATTGTTATTATTATTAAAGCGACCTCCTGTCTGCCTGTTCAGGTGCATGTTAAAGATCCCAATGGCACTATTTGTAAAGGGATTGAAACTTCTCCCAGTGTCCTAATCAACAATTCCCAGAATAAAAACATGAATCACTTACCTTCATGGCCGGTTGGGGGATACTGCTGCGTGCAAATTGGTTGCCATATTTGCTTACAACTACAGTCACTCCACTTCACAGTAAAATCCTATGAAGTGTCCTGACAATATGTCAAAACCAAGGATTATTATCATTATTATTGCCCAAATAATGGTAGCAGAATTGAAATAAAGGACAGGAGCAAAATTACCCGACTTTCAAGTCCATCTCTAAGCCTCTGCTGCCACTTTCATTAGCGGAGGTAATTTCACTGGTGGTTTAAACCTAATGTCATTGTGGATTTGTATCTCAATGTGATACTTATTAAAGTGAGGATGCTTGGGTTTACATGGGAGTTTCTGGCCAACCATCTCTCAAATAAAAATTGTTTTATAATAATTTGGTTACTCAATCCATGGCTGCTTGTGGGACACTGCTGTGCGCAATTGACTGCTGCATTTCATTCACAAAATATACAGTCAATTCACTTTACAGTATATTCTGTGAAGCGCTTTGCAACATCTCAACGATGTAATGAGGTGCTATATCAAATGCAAAGATTATTATTATTAATAACTCAAATTGGTCATTCATTTCACAGCTGTTTGTAGGATATCGCTGTGTGTAACTTGACTGCCGTATTTGCCAACAAAATACAATGTTTCTAGACTTCACAGTATATCTTCTGAAGCGCTCTGAGAATGTCTTCCTGATGTGAAAGGCACTGTCTCAAATGTAGGATTATAAATTAAGAAGCAGGGGTTTGGTGACGCCATGCTAACATTGTAAAAGCCTGCGGTGCTTGCAGTAAGGCTTTTCACAATTCTGAGTAACAACAAGTTAGACGGATTACATTCAGTGTTGGATTATCCAGGGTAAATTTAAGAGGAATAAAAATGTGAAGTTGAAATTTCAGTGAGCAAATAGCGAACCTGTGGAACAGGCTCCCGAGGGAGACGGTTGAAGTAGGAAGTGTTGATTCTTTCAAATTAGATAACTTTCTTTCAGGAAATAACATTATGGGATATAATATAGAGGTAATTCGGGACAAATGTGCCTGCGACTGCCAGGAAGGTGGAAGACGATCTAGATGGACCTTGATCTTTTTTCATCTAGCATTTCTTAAGTTCATATGTTCTTAGTAACTAATTTTATTCAGGGCATTGTGGCATCAATAAACCAACAACAAGCAACAACTAATTACATTTGTATAGCGCCTTTACACATTGGAAGGACGTCCCAATAAATTCTTTACAAAGAAATCACTTCTAAACATACCATACCTTCCATGCCTAGAAATGTCCCACTCAGAATGTGCTGCTGGAAATAATTTATGTAGCACACTTATTTTGTACTAGCTGTACCTGTTGCAGCTTCACTTGCAACCAAGGGATCCAATCTGGAATGTAGATTGACACACAGACAGACAGAAAATATCCTGTGCCAGAACTCCTTTTGGGAGAACTCAATGGAGGACTCATTTTGGGAGAACTCCTTTTGGGAGGACTCCTTTTTGGGAGGACTTAGTGGGAAGACTCAGTGGGAGGACTCCTGTTTGGAGGATTCCTTGCAGAGAGGAGTCCTTGTTGGGAGGTCTTCTTATCGGAGTGCATACATGTGTGATGAGCCTGTTTAGGTTGCAGCTTTTCTCGGCACTACTTTGTTGCAGAATATATGTATTTCTCTAGAAGGATGCGTGATTTCCTCTGGCGCTAATTTGTTGAGAGTACCATGCATACCTCATATTTTGGGGCTTAATTAACAACAACAACAAGATTACATTTGTAATTAAAGCATTTTTTAAAATATAGCTCATCAAAGATATGAGATCCTTGAATAAAATATGCCCATGCCACTCCCCTATGCAAGATCTCTCCGATGAGGTATAAACCATGTCTCTATGTCAATCGGTTATAGTGTTCTTAGTGGACAGACAGACTGACACACAGACAGAAATTTTGTCTTTATTAGTATAGATTTACAACTCAAATTGTACATCACACTTCTAGCGACCCCCTCTGGCCAAGGAATGGTAATAATAATAATAATAAGAAGAATGGTAATGCACAAACTCTGCATGCGAAACAAATACTGTACAATTACGGCTGTTAAGCAAGAGAAACAGTATCTCAACATCTACAACAAATTGCATTTATGTCAGGAGGATGCCCCAAGGCAAGAACAATGAGGGGTTTGCACCCGAGCTGCGGGTTGGGATCAGAGAGGGGTGGAAGGCAAGGTGAGATGTGGAGGAGGGAAGATAAGGAAGATCTTGAGATATTTATGTATTTATTCTATGAGAATTTGGCTGATCTGTACCTCAACTCCAATTACCCAACTTTGCTCCATATCCCTTGATTCCCTTACCTGACAAAAATCTATCCGCTTTAGTCTTGAACATTTGAATGGATCCAGCTTGCACAGCCTTCGGGGGGGAACATTTCCAGATTTCCACTACCCTTTGCGTGAAAAAATGCCTTGTGATTTCACTCCTAAATGGCCTACCTCTAATTTCAAGATTATGTCCCCTTGTTCTGGATTCCCCCACCAGAGGAAATAGTTCCCCTTTAGCTGTCCTGTCGAATCCCTTTATCATTTTAAAGAACTCAATCAGATCATCCCTCAACCTTCTAAATTCAAGGGAATACAGTATGCAACCTGTCCTCATAATTTAACCCTTTAAGCCTTGGTATAACCTGGTTTCAAGGAATTGAAGTGAACCTTTGAATTTCAGCAACCCTTACAATGCTGCTCCTCTGCCTCCTATGGCTCTAGATGTGAAAAGCGCTATACAAATGTAATTTGTTGTGTTGTAGCACTAAACCCTTTATGAATCAATAAAAGCCTTCATTCAACACCTAAATGGAAGAATATAATTTATGTTGTTGCCAACGATGAATTAAACAACAACAAGATTGTATTTATAGAGCGCCTTTCACGTCGGGATTGTATTTATAGAGCGCCTTTCACGTCGGGATTGTATTTATAGAGCGCCTTTCACGTCGGGAGGACATCCCAAGGCGCTGGACAGTTGGGTCAGGACCCGAGCAGGGGGGAAATATTCAGGGTGAGGGGAGGGAAGGGAGGGAGCGAGGAGGGGGTAGAGAGTCGAGAGGGGAGCTGAAGGCACGGTTGAAGAGAAAGGTCTTGAGACCGGCCTTGAAGGAGGAAAGGGAGGAAGCGGCGAAGGCACTGGGGGATGGAGTTCCAGAGCCTCGGGGCTGAGAGGCTGAAGGCCCGGCCACCAATGGTAGGGCGGTTAGGGCGGGGGATGTGGAGCAGACCGGAGCCAGAGGAACGGATGGTATGGGCAGGTAGGTAGGGGGATAGTAGGTTGGAGAGGTAGGAGGGAGCAAGGCCGTGAATGGCCTTGTAGGTGAGGATGAGGATCTTGAAATCGATCCTCTGGGGGATGGGAGCCAGTGGAGGCGAGCGAGGGTGGGAGTGATGTGGTCGCGAAGCCTGGTGCGGGACAGTACACGAGCTGCAGAGTTCTGAATGACCTGCAGCCTGTGGAGGGAGGTGGCGGGAAGGCCGGCGAGGAGAGAGTTCCCATAGTCCAGCCTTGAGGTGATAGAGGCGTGGACCAGAGTTTCAGCAGCGTGAGGGGTGAGGTAGTGCCGTAGTCTGGCGATATTCTGGAGGTGGTGGAAGGCGGTGCCAGTTGTGGCGCAGATGTGGGGAAGAAAGGACAGCTCAGGGTCGAACAGAACCCCGAGGTTCCTGATGGCTTTGAGAGGTGGAGAGTGCAGCCTTGGATGCTGATGCTGTCAGCGCCTGAGGTGCGGAGGCACTGACCCGAGCCAATCAGGAGGGCCTCAGTTTTGCGCACATTGAGCTGAAGAAAGTGGGGAGATAGTGGGGGGATTAACCCCAACCCTAAAATGCTCAATCTGAATTTGTTGGAATGATTTGAACCATCGGGGGGTGGTGGTGGTGGTGGGGGGGGGGGGGGGGAAGACCTGGAGCAGGCCGGAGCCCCGCTGAACATTATTAAGATAATAATTATGACAATAATAATAATAATAATAATAATAATAATAATGAATACAAGGGAGAGGAGATGATGCTTGAGCCTTGGTGAGATCCCATCTGGACCACGTGTGCTGTGTGTGTGTGGGGGGGGGAAGTGGGCGGAGTTTGAGCAGGTGGTGGCGGCTGCGCGCGCAGTCGCGGCGCCTGACCCACGTGGCGGGGCCGAGAGATGCGCCGTGAGTTTGGTTTCCTCTCGCGAGAGTTTGGGGGGGGGCGCGGTGCATTGTGGGCCCTCCCCCTCGCTCCCTCTTTCTCTCTGCGGCCATCTTGGCGACAGGTCGGCGGCGCCGCGCAGCCCTCAGAATTTTTTCCGGCCCCGCCGCCCGCCCGCCTCCCACTCACTCACTCTCTCTCTCCCTCGTTCGTGTCTTCAGGTGCGGCGCCGAAGGCAGTCAGTCAGTCAGTCAGGCGGCCGACACGACAGGCAAGATGGTGGCGGCTAAGAAGACGGTGAGTTGTGGGGGGGAAGCGGACCGCGCGCGCGCCCACACCGCCCGCCCGGCGGCTTCACGTGGAGGCAGCGGCCGGGCTCCGGCTTCCAAGGCCTAACTCGCCACCGCCTCCTCCCCTCTGCCCTCTCCCCCACGTGTGGCTCTCTCGGGGCCCGGCCTGGCCGCCTCCACCCCACTTTCCCCCTCTCCCCGCACCCGCGGACTCGCCTGGTGCTCGCGCCCGGCCGAGAGCAGCCGCGTTCAGACGCTTTACGGCCCGGGAAGAGGGAGGGAGTGAGAGGGAGGGAGGGGAGAGACGGGATAAGCGAGGAAGGAGGAGAAGCAACGCCAAGGGAGGGTTTGGCCAGAGACGCGGGAAATGAGTGGTGTTCATCTCTTTTTTTTTTAATTTCGTGTTTCTTTTGGTTTGGGGGAAGTATTTTTCTTTAAAAATGTCTTATTTTAGATTCCTCTTCCTTCCTGCTCTCTCTCTCCCCCCCCCCTCACCTCCCCATTGAGGGCGTTTAGCTGTTTTATTTGCTGAATGGGCAAAGGCCACCCTCCCAAGTTCACCAAACGTAATAATCCCTCGAAATAAATAGATAAAATAATAATAATTTGATCACTTAATCCGTGATTGTTTGGGGGACACCTGCCGTGAGCAATTGGCTGCTGTGTTTTGCCCACAAAATATAGTTAATTCCCTTTACAGTATATTCTGTGAAGCACTTTGAGACGTCTCAGTGGTGTGATATGGCTCTGTCAAATGCGAGGATTATTATAATTCTATCCTCTCACCCCCACCCTCGCCCGACTCCACTGGCTCCCCATCATTCAGAGGATACAGTTCAAGATCCAGATCCTCACCTTCAAAGCCCTCCACAGCCTTGCTTCCCCTGAACCTCTGTGATCTAACCCCCTATGATACTGTCCTGTTCAGAGGGCTCCAACTTGCTGCGCGTCCCCTGCCTTGCCGCTGCACCATTGGTGGCCGGGCCAACAGCCCTCTGCCCCCAACCCTCTGGGACTCAATCCCACAGTCTCTGCCTTGCCTCCTTTAAGACCCTCCTGTTCGACCGTGCCTTTGGCCACCCTCCTACCTCTGCCGTCCACCCCTCCTGATCCCAACCACCAGCTTGGGCGCGAATCCCTGACTGTCCAGCGCCTTGGGACATCCTCCTGAAGTGAAAGACGCTGTACAAATTTTATTTATTCTTGTTGTTGCCTTTCATGTCGGCAAGGTGTCACGATGAGCTTCACAAGATGTATTGTAAAGTGTAGTGACTATTTTGAGGCTAAAGTGGCAGCTATGCAAATAATTCAATCCTCCTCCACTGCCTCTTCTAACCTCATCCTTCATGGTTCTGTCATTGAGTGGTTCACACCTTCTCCACTTCAACTCCACAAACGTCTTCTCCTCTAGCCCCCGCTTCGTCTCGTGAGGCATTCCTCAGGACTCTGTCCTTGGTCCCTTCCTCTTCAATATCTACATGCCCCATCTTGGTGACATCATCTGGACATGAGGTCAACTTCCACATGTATGTGGATGACACCCAACTCTTATCTCTCTGCCTCCAACCTTGACTCCAGGGCCACGCTGTCTTGACAGAATGTCTGCCAGACATCAAGTCTTGGATAAATGCTAACTTTCTACAGTTGAACACCAACAAGATCAAGGCTCTCCTGATTTGTTCCTGCCAGTGCCTCCACACCTCAGGCACTGATAGCATCTTCATCCAAGATGCACACTCCACAAGCTGTAAGGCCTTGGGACATCCTCTCAGTGTTTTAGGCACTATACTCCTGTAGTTTTATATTGTATTGTAATTCTCGCTGGCCTGATTGTGCACTTTGCGTGATGTTCGTTAGATGAAAGCTCAGTTACCTGTTCCATAGGACTGATCTATGTCTGGCCACACACAAGGTTTGGCAAACAGATTAAAAATATAATTGTATTGTAATTGCAATTTTTTAAAAAAGTCTTATGGTCATGTGATTTTCTTTCACAGAAAAAGTCTTTGGAGTCCATTAATTCCAGACTTCAACTGGTTATGAAAAGTGGCAAATATGTGCTGGGCTACAAACAGACTCTGAAAATGATTCGGCAAGGCAAAGCCAAGCTGGTCATACTTGCTAACAACTGTCCTGCCTTGAGGTAAATAATGATAATCCTTGCATTTGATATAGTGCCTTATCCCATCTACGAGACTTCTCAATCCATTCAAAAGATAGTAACGAGGTATACTGTGAGTTTTTCTGTTTGTGGTTTCTTTGACCTTTTGGAGACATTCATTAAACTTAATCCTAAACCCGCTTTTTTGCAAATAATTCTCGCTGGCCTGATTGTGCATTCGTCAGGTTAGGGCTAGATGAAAGCTCAGTAGCACGTTCCATACAAAAGGTCTATGTCTGGTCTTGATATACATGTTACTGACAACATAGAATAAATGTTGCCATTTATCCTGGGGACAGGAAGATGCATTTTTTTACATTTTAAGACCATTCTATATGGGAGTAATATTGATGTGAAGGCAGCCTTTTATAACCAGCTGATAGCGTCTTTACAGTTCAGTCTTACAGATTGCACTATTATCATTTTGGATGTAATGTTGCTTGACACAAGAAGTGCCAATTCCTGGTGAACGTAATTTACGATCATAGAATTCTGCTCATTGGCCTCCCAACCACTGGAGTAAGTTCTAACACTTCAGAAAGAACTGAACCAGTCTAATCACTGACTTTTTCCATTCGAGACAGTATTTACATAATGCATTTTTAAAATGAAACTTATAATTATACTCTGAACAAATCCTGTTCTTCGAAACGGCCTCCTGACGTGAAAGATGCTACATAACGTGTAGATTACTTATTCCCAAATTTTATGTGCTCATCTTAGTTACGACTGGTGTAAAGCTTCACCATAACTTATAGGTGGCTTTTTAGAAGAATGCTGAATAGATCATCAACTTTTTAAAGCTTTTCATTTTGCAGTTCTGCTGGGCCAAGCTTGTTTTGCACTATTGCGAAAAAAATTACATGTGTATACAAGATGTATCCTTGATCCAAAGAGGTGGAAATTTAGTATGGTAGAATCATATCATAGAATTACGCAGCACGGAAGGAGGCCATTCGGCTCTTTGAAAAGAGCTATCCAATTCAATCCCACTCCCCCACTCTCTCCCCATAGCTCTGCAGACTTGTCCTTCCCAAATAATTATCTACTCTCTTAAAAGCTGTTATCAAATCAGCTTTTAAGAACTCCTAACTGTAGGGAAAGGAAGGGGATAGAGGGAAAGATTTACATAGGTTTGTGGAAATTTTCAGTAAATATGTTCTTCGTTTAACTAAATGTTGAGGAACATGCAATGCTTTAAACCATTGCCCACCATGTGTTTTCCAATATATGCCTAACATGAGATGGGCAAAGCATTTTGAGGGCAGAATTCTCTTGATTTTATGTATTATAGTTTTGGTATTTGTACAGTCAATATTTTTTAATAGTGTAGAGCCATGGGTGTGAATAACTTTATACACCTATTCCCCAATTTGCTAGGCAGGGTGAGGAAACTTGCGCACATCATCATGGGAGGGTTGTGGAGTTCCATTGCTTGTCCTACCTGCAAAATTTGTTCATTGTCACAGTCTGGGAGATACCTGTGGAACTATGCACAAACCACTCTGATAGTGAGCTTCTTGACTTCATTGTCACAGAAGTTTGCCAAGTTATTTTCCTTGTTTTAAGAGAAAATTTAGGCCCGTTTTGCCAAAATTCCAGTTTTATTAATGAATTGTTTTGTTACTGCTTTGTTATAGGAAATCTGAGATCGAATACTACGCAATGTTGGCCAAGACTGGTGTGCATCATTACAGTGGTAACAATATTGAGCTGGGTACAGCTTGTGGTAAATACTACAGAGTGTGCACACTTGCTATCATTGATCCTGGTAAGTTTTTCTCCATTGATCCTTTTGGATCTGCTACACTTTATATAGTCTTAATCCATTCACCAATTGTGTAGTATAGCCTTTGTCCTACCTATAGAACTTGTTTTAAAATTAGCTGTAAGCTATGCACTTGTGAGTAAAGCATGCCTGTACATTACTAAATATTGATAGTGGTATATTCCTATCGGCGTGTAAAGTCTAGTTTTTGAAAAGTTAATGGTCTTTTCAGTATACCGCAAATTTTCTCACTGGCTTTGTTCTTTTTCACAAGCAAGTCAGGCTAGCATTTCGCTAGATTAAAGCCGTGCTCAGTGTCTACAGGCCTTATTTCTTAGTCCTGTTGTAATCTTTGCTGACAACATTTTGCAACAGTCTGATGTTTTAGGACAGATGACTGGAGAACATAATATTTGATTTCAAAAGATAGAAATAGGTGAGATCATTCAGCCACCAAGCCATCAAGTCTCTGACAACTCTTAATTCTATTCCCATGTTATTTTTGTCAGTATTTTTTAGTCAGTATTTCTTGAACATTTTCTGTTCTCGTGGTCCTTATTAAAAATAATGTTTTGTTCTTTTAATGACATAACTCTATTCTCCCTCTATTTAGGGAAATTATCTACCTTTCTGATAGCCATTACTTTGACAAACCTCAATTGGATTATCCCATGGAGCTACTGAACTGCAATGAATAAACCCTAGCTTGCTCAGCCTCTTGTCATAATTAAATCATATCCCAGGTATTATCCTGGTGAATCACTATACTCCCTTATGTGGGATGCCTAAAACTGAGCAACATCTTCTGAATCCCTCTATACAACAGCAGATGTACTTCCTTGTTGCTGTAGTCTATACATCTTGTGACTTTATCCTCGAACATTCCTTTCCTAATCTGCCGCATCTTCAATCCTTTGAAAACATTTCTATTGCTTAATCTTTAATCCTTTAAAAAATATACTTGTAGCTAACTTGCAATTTAACTGGTATGTATTTACAGGTCATTTTTGTTCTATTCAAATGAATGTATAAAAATAATTAGTTATTCCAATAAGGTTTCCAATTCTCAGCACTCGGCCATTTCTGGAATATTTAAAGTGAAGAATGTCAGAACTTGGATATGAGAGCTTTATTGCCCGGCATTATTATAAGGCTGAACAGTTTCCCCCTTACCAGTTATTCCACAAACTGATTGCTATGTACAATACCATTTTTGTACAGATGTTGCTACCAGTTATTTGTACTTAATGTTGCCTTTCTTTTGCAGGTGACTCCGATATCATCAGGAGCATGCCAGAGCAGATCAGTGAGAAATAAACACGTCTGTACAAAAATTTGTTACAAATAAAACTGGTTCTATATTAAAAAAAATGTGTTTTTGCTGTCTGAGGAAATTACTGGGTATTTTTGATCCACTGACTATGTTGCAATTGCAGCATTTTGTGGGCTTTGATGATGCAAAGTACCTTTGTGCCGTGCTGTGGATTTTCGTATGCCATGTGCTGCCTTTATTTAAACAATTTGCACATCTTATGGCTACAGTGGAAGTGGTTTGCTATCAAAGGTGACACCAAAGTTTTTTTGGTGCTATTGAGTTCAAATGATAGAATATTTGCCATCTTCTTCCTAATTCACATCCTATTTTGATGTTTGGTAAAACAGTAAAGTAAATATTTCATATTGCTTTGCGTGTTGCTGCCTTCTTTAGGGTCATTGCTGATAAATTAACGCACAATTAGCAATTAGTCCCTACTGAAGAGAGTTGAGAAACCTTTTACTGGAAGCATTGCTAATGATGTAATTTTTGTATACGTTCATACCTTGAGTGCACTTTTATTGTTTTGTATTGCGTTTTAGGCTTTATCTGCTACAGTGTAATCTTCAGCTGCTGCCCGGCATCTTAATTGTACCTGAATCTAAATGGTATCCAGGTGTACCATTTTTTTAGCTAAAATGCTATTTTGGGAAAGTTACAGATTAATCTGATCTGGTCTCTGAATTTAGATTATTATCGGTTAATTTTTACTGTACTTTATAATATATTTGATACTTTGTACTAACAAAACAAAATTTGTGGGCTTTTTAGAAAATCCGGTATTGTACACTGAATTTACATACATGGAAAAGATTTCAAACTCACTTTTGTATTTCTTATACTGTAAAGTGGATTGACTATATTTTGTGAGTGAAACGCAACAGCTAATTGCGCACAGCAATGTCCCACAAACAGTCGTGGTTTGAGTGACCAAATTATTTTTTTTTGAAGGCCTTATTACCACGGATCCACCGATCAACTATTTCTTAGTGAGGGCATTGTATGTAAATGCCGGAACGCTCAAATCCTTTTATTTGAATCATACAATATAAAACTACATTTGTATGGCGCCTTTCACGTCAGGAGGACGTCCCAAGACGCTGGACAGTGAATTTTGTGTATTTTATGCCAAGAGATGAGTTAAGGTGGAGAGAGAAACTGAATGCTAGAAATGTGCGAAAGGTTGATTGATCTTCAGCTAGAAGACTTTTCAGGTCGTACAAGATTTGCAGGTTTAAAGACAAAAGTGCAAAGTTAGTTAATGCATTCTTTATTGGGTGAAAATCCATTCAGTGAAAATAATGATGGTAATAAGTAATGGAAATTTATTTCACAGTTGAGTAAATTCCTGAATTCATTTAACCAAGTGAGTCGGTATAAAACTCACTAAAAACCTATAGCATAGGCAGAGAGCAGTGTCCACCCTAACATTAAGTTACATTTTTTTGAATTGAAAACCAATTTAACCATTTTGTTGAACGACTGAATTTAAAATGCACAATTTTAGCTCTTGTTTCGAGCAGTGAAAACTTGTGAAAAATACAGTTACCAATTTAAAATGATTCTCATTTCATCTGCCCATTTCCAGTTTCAGAGGAGCAGTTAGTTGAGCCAGTATTACCTTACTAGTTTGTTATAATCTTAATATCAATAAAACTGTTACCTGCATTTTGATGGAAGCCCTTAAAAGACAAATGTACAAAACGTAATGGTCATGTTCCAATCGGTGAAACACGAATGTACTTCCCATTGACGTCTCGCTACTTTGCTTTGAGATAATTTTCCAGAATTCTCAGTCTCTTCACAATATCTTCCAGTATTTATAGTTAAAGAAATCTGCTTTGCCACTGCTGTGGAGAAAGGGGAAAATGATGCAGTGCGCTGTAATTTGATTTTTGTTACGTGGAGATCAGGCGCTGAATGTAAAGAGTAAATGTATAAATTTTGGGATGTTGGCAACGCTGTCAACATTGGTTTCACTAATAATATAATAATCCTTGCATTTATTATAGCGCTTTATCACATCATTGAGCTGTTGCAAAGCGCTTCACAGAATATATTGTAAAGTGGATTCACTATTTTGTGGACGAAACGCAGCAGCCAATTAATTGCGCACTGAATGGCCAAATTTATTACCCATGGAAAGCGATCTGCCAATCGACCAACAACCGGGTTCCTACTTACTGCTTGGTAAACAGGCACGTAACTGAATGGATCTCAGCATTTGCCCACGTTCACTGAATGAATCGTTGATCTTGCATGAAAATGAATGAATCTGGTCGATTACACTCACGTGATTGATTGTATGTGAACAATCACATTGACACAGTGAATGAATCGGGGTGATTGCGTGTCCTGCTTTGCTTTGCAAAGCCATTAAACTAAACTTTGTTTTAAAAAATGAGGAACATGAAAAGGATATGTTTTTGGGATAACTTTTGTATTTCTTCTGAAGTGTAGATCTGGGACGATACAACTGCCTCACACTTGCATTGTTCCTGAAGAGACGGATTTCCTGTCAAATTATACGGAAAGTAATTGTTAGTATGCATTTGGTTCAGTTTTTCTTTGATAACCATTGTTACTGAATTATCTGATTGAGATACAAGGTTCAAGGCTTTTCATACACATTCAATATCAAAATTTGCAACATCTGAAAAATTAACATTCCATAAAAGTATAATATCTTGAATTTAAAATTATGAGGAAATTGATATGACAAATAAAATGAAACCATTTCCACTGGTTGGTAAAGGGCAGAAATTTAAAGGCATAAAATGTATCTCTTTGCCTGTGATTTCGCTCATTTGTCCTGTCCTCCCATCTTGCTCCGCTCCCACTCCCAGCCCATTCAGCTTGGGACGTCCTCTAGTGAAAAGCACTAGATAAATGTATATTGCATCTCCAAAAAAAATGGGGTAGAGGAAGGATAAGGGAATTTTACATAGGTGGATTGTAGGACGTGGAATCCATACCAAACAAATGTTTCAAGCAATTTCTGTAATAGTAATTAAAAGTGAATTAAAAATATCTCAAAAAGAAAATCCTAAAAGGGAAAGTTCAGGGAGTGCGACTAAATGGATAGTTTAAATGGATAGATAAATGGACAGAGATGGCACAGATATAATAATAATACTCACATTTAATACAGTGCTTTGTCACGTCTTTGAGTAATCTCAAAGCGCTTCACAGAATATACTGTAAAGTGAATTGACTATATTTTGGCTGAAACTTGGCAGCCAATTATGCACAGCAGTGTCCCACAAACCGTAGTGGATTGAGTGACCAATTATTTTTTTTGAAGAAGTTATCCTTCAATCGACTAACAAGTGGGTTCCTATTTACTTCTAGGTAAACAAGCGTGTGGAGTAAGGAAATTTGCACAACATTCTGCCCTGCCGGGAATCAAACCCAGGTCTCTCGCTTTCAAAGCGAGTGCTCTGAGCTACAGGACTCCACAATATAATAGTTGAATGACCTCGACTATAATGGTAGCCAAGTGCAAAACATGATAGCGAGCCCATGACAATAAAATCCTCAATGCAAGGGTGAAATCTAGAATATGAAAATTCCATGTGTTTCAGGTAGACATAATCATCTCTTGATTGGAGCTTAATGGCCACACGGGTTGATACTGTATCCTTCCGACTGGAACTTCCATTAGGTTAAATGATAATATACTCAGTGGAAATATTTTACAAGGACTTGCATGTTACTCAGAGTACCTTTGCAAATCTGTGTTTTCAGTTTTTCAGCAATTTCCCCAATCGCGCTGAAGTCTTCAGCGTGATATGAGTATTTGTCTTGTGGATACGAAGCAATCTGTTGTAGTTTGCTTTCAACTGTGTCTCCCACTCCAACAGCGTATATAATGATTCCTGTTAAGCACGTTTGAACGAAATATTGAACATTAATCAGATTTGCTTCACATTTCCCTTCCCCTTTCTCCACTCCTCTTTAATGACATCATTCCACATGTGCCCTGCAATACAGCTGAGAGCTCGGTCAAGTGATTTGGTACTTTGCCTTTGCTTATGCTATTGTTGATCTGCACAAAGAAGTGAACACACGTTCTTACTCTGTACAACTCAGACCTGAGAGCTCACAGTGTGGGGAGAACACACTGAAACATTGTAAAGCAAGTACTAATTACTGTGCTTGTAGCTAATAAATTGTAAATTTTACTCCATTAAACACTCGGAATTAGACCACACTTAAAATCTTGCATTAATTTGTTATCCCTCTAACCTCATGAGCAAATAATTGTTACGATTCCATGATATATAGCTTGTTTTTTTCTTTCCACAGAAAGTGGCTATGATGTATATCATTTATAACTTACCGACACAAACACTTTGTGAGTTATTTGTAACTTATATTTCACAAGGCAATGTCAGAAATACTTTCCTTTATATCGGACATTAAACCAAGGTCCCGTCTGCGAGTTCTTCAAGTGGATGTTAAAGATCATTAAACCATTTGAAAAGAGAAGGGATTTTGTCCCAGGGTCCTGGCTAAAAATCCTCCAGACTAAATCGATCATAGATATTAGTGGAGACCTTGCTGGTATAAATGGCCGCCTTGTTGGCAACGAGAAACACATCACAGAAAAATCCTGTGAAACGCTTTGGGATGTCCTAACGACATGAAAGGCACTATACCAAATGCAAGGATTATTATTATTAATAAGAACAGTAACTACAGTGGATAGTAATTACTTTTTCTGTAAAGTATAGTGACCGTATTTGTGGTCGAGGATTACGGCCAATTTTCACACAGCAACGCCCCACAAACAGCAATGAAGTGAATGACCACTTTTTTTTTATCTGAAGGATTATTGGCCAGGATCTCTTGGCTGGATTCTCACCATTGTACTATCATGTTTTTGCAGTTCACCAAATTCTGTTGAGGAGAAACATTGTTTGCGATTAATGTGCATTTTACACAGAACCACCCATGGACATTCACTGGAGCAGAGGAGGTTGGGAAGGCATCTAAAAAAGTTTTCAAAGTTACGCAGGGTTTTGAGAGGGTAAACAGTAACAGAATATTCTATGATTCGAATAAAGGGAGTCTTGGAACAACAACAACAACAAGATTACATTTGTATAGCGCCTTTCACGTCGGGAGGACGTCCCAAGGCGCTGGACAGAGTACAGCATTTCAGACCCGAGCTGGGGTCGTGGGAGGGAGAATGGAGGGGAATAATAATAATATTAATAATAATAATAATAATCCTTGCATTTGATATAGCGCTTTTCACGTCGGGAGGACGTCCCAAAGCGCTTCACAGAATAGACTGTAAAGTGAATTGACTGTATATTTGTGGGCGAACGCGGCAGCCAATTGCGCACAGCAATGTTCCACAAACAGTCGTAGATTGAAAATGACCAATTTATTATTGTTTTTGTTTTGGAGGGATTATTATTAGGCTCTGTGTGGAGTAAGGAAACTTGCCCAAGGTTTCGCCCTCTGCCTGGAATTGAACTCGGGTCTCTCACTTGCAAAGCGAGTGCTCTAACCACTGAGCTACAGGACTCTACAGGAAGGGGGGTGGCCGATGGCATGGTCGAAGAGGAGGGTCTTGAGGCAGGACTTGAAGGAGGTTACGAAGGGGGCGAGGTGGAGTGACCGGGGATAGAATTCCAGACGTTGGGGGCAGAGTGGCTGAAGGCTCTCCCGCCAATGGTGGGGCGGGTGGGTCAGGGGACGTAGAGAAGGTCGGAATCGGCTGACCGGAGGGAATGGGTGAGTTGGTAGGGGGTTAGGAGGTCGCAGTGGTAGGGTGGGGCAAAGCCATTGAGGGCTTTGTAGGTGAGGACCAGGATCTTAAACTGGGTCCTCTGAAAGATAGGGAGCCAATGGAGTTGGGCAAGACTGGGGGAGATGGGGTCACGGAGTTTGGTGCGGGAGAGGACATGGGCTGCAGAGTCCTGGATTATCTGCAGCCTGTGGAGGGAGGAGTTGGGAAGGCCAACAAGCAGAGTGTTTGCATATTAGATCCTGGAGGTGATGAAGGCATGAACAAGAGTTTCAGCGGCCTGAGGGGTGAGGTAGTGGCGGAGTCGGGCAATGTTACGGAGGTGAGGGAAGGCAAAGCGGGTCATGGCTTGAATGTGGGGGAGAAAGGACAAGTGAGGGTCGAACAAGACACCCAGGTTCCTGACTGGCTGGTGAGTTGTAGTGTGCAACCATGGAGGTTGATGTTGCCAGAGCCTGAGGTACTGAGGCGCTGGCGGTAGCCAATCAGGAGGGCCTCAGTCTTGTTCACATTCAACTGTAGGAAATTTGCCCTCATCCAGGACTTGATGTCCGACAGGCGGTCTGTCAGGACAGCAGTGGTCCTGGAGTTGAGGGTGGAGGCAGAGATAGAGTTGGGTGTCATCCGCATACATGTGGAAGCTGACCCCATGTCTGCGGATGATGTCACCAAGGGGGAGCGTGTAGATATTAAAGAGGAGAGGGCCAAGGACAGAGCCCTGGGAGACGCCAGACGTGACAGTGTGGGGGCTGGAGGAGAAACCGTTGGAGGCAACAAAGTGGAGACGGTGAGAGAGATAGGAATCAAACCAGGCAAGTGCAGGTCCGCGAAGATTAAGTAAAGAGGAGAGGCGGTATATGAGGATGGAGTGGTCGACAGTGTCAAAGGCAGCAGAGATGTCGAGGAGGACTAAGAGGGCAGAAGGAGCCCTGATCACAAATGTTCATAATGTCATCAGTGACTTTGACCAGGGCTGTTTCCGTGCTGTGGGCAGCGCGGAAGCCGGATTAGAGGGGTTCAAAGAGGGAATGGTGAGAAAGAAAGGAGCAGAGCTGGGACACGATGACTCATTCCAGGACCTTGGAGAGGAATGGGAGGTTAGAGATGGGGCGGTAGCTGGAGAGGAGGGATACATCCAGGGAAGGTTTTTTCAAGATGGGGGTGATGACGGCTATTTTTAGGGGGGTGGGAACTGAACCGGTGGACAAGGAGAGGTTGATGAAATCGGACAGGAGAGGGGCCAGAAGGTGGAGCTGGGAAATGAGGAGAGAGGTGGGGATGGGATCGAGGGAGCAGGTGGTGGGTTTGAGTTTGTGGACAGTCATGGTGAGGGAGGAGGGAGAGATAGGGTCGAAGAAGTATAGGGGGGGATGGGTGGAGGGATGGGTCATGAGGGAGAGGTGATGTGGGGGTGGCTGTGGCGGGGCTGAGGTGGCTGAACGTATCCCCTTGATGTTAGATTCAAGGAAGTCCAGCATCTCCTCACAGTTGGAGTTTAAGGAGAGGATGGGTGAGGTATGGGAAGGTGGACAGAGGAGATGGTTTGTGGTAGAAAAGAGAAGCCCGGGGTTGTACTTTGCCTCCAAGATAACCTTGGAGTAGAAGGAGGATTTGGCGGAGACAAGAGCGCAGCGGTCGGTCTTGGTGTAGTGAAGCCAGATCTGCCGATGGATCGTTAGTTCGAATTTGGTCCAGGCGCGTTCAGCAGCTCACACTTGTGCCTTGAGGGAACGGAGATGGCTGGTGTACCAGGGGGATTTACAGGAGTATGAGGCAGTTCAGGTGGTGGGGGGGCAAGGGAGTCCAGGATGGAGGAGAGGGAGTTGTGGAGAAAGGAGACTGAGGAGGGGAGATCGGTCAGTGTGGGCCAGAGGTGTAGGAGTTCAGATGACTGCAGGGCAGTGGAGAAGGAGAGGGAGGAATTTTTTTTCCATGGACGGTATGTGATGGTGGAGGGTTGGGAAAGGGGAAGGAGTACGGTGAGGCCCGGGTGATCACCAGGTCAAGGGGGTGGCCACGGTCATGGGTGGGGAAGTGGATGAGGAGGGAGAGGTTAAGGGAAGAAGGAGGGAGGAGAAGTCGGCAGAGGTAGAGCAGGAGGGGGTGAAGGGCAGGTTGAACTCACCTAAGATTAGGAGGCCTTCAGAGCAGAGGGAGAGGGAAGATAGGAAGGTGGAGATGTCCGAGAGGAAGGTGGGAGAAGGCTTGGAGGGACGGTAAACAAGGAGGATTTTGAGGGAAAACCTGAAGGGGTGGTAGAGGGTAAGGTGTTCAAAGGAGGGGAAGGTTCGGGAGGAGTAAAGGGAAAGGCCAAAGGGGGACCGGGAGATGATAGCCACACCACCGCCACTGCGATTAGGCCGTGGGGTTTGGTGAAAGGTGTAACCTGGAGGTGTGGCCTCAACCAGTGGGAAGGTGTCGCCTGGGGTGACCCAAGTTTCAGTGAGGGCGAGGATGTCGATATTTTCCTCGACGGTGCAGTCATGGATTATGAGGGACTTGTCGGTTAATGAGTGGACATTCTGCAGACCAATGCGGAGGGGACAGTTATTGGTGGGAGTGTGGGGGGGGATGAGGGGTGGGAAGCGGTGGGCAGACGGATTGGATGGGGATGTGAGTGAGGGAGGAAAGCTGCTTTTACACAAAAATAGCTGTTGATTTGAGGCTCTTGTGACTTTTCAAAGCAAAATCAATAAATACTCATTGAGTAAAGATATTAAAGGGTTTGGTGAAAAAGCAGAGAAATGGGATTAGAGCTCCCTCCAATGGTCTATGACAGGTCCATTTAGCTTAATTTTTTATCACTGAGGCAGGTATTCTTTGAAGCTGTGAAGCTGTTATTCAAAAGGCAAAGTACCCCAGATGCTGGAAATCTGCTATAAACACAGAAGTCGCTGAGAACACGCAGCATCCATGGAAGGAGGAAAATGAGTTAATGTTTCAGGTCATTGACCTTTTGCCAGAACTCTTCGTCAGAACCCAGCAACTTCTGTGTTTAAGCTATTATTCAACATTGTTTACAATTTAGTTGTGTTAAATGAAGCTGAGCTCTCTGAAATCAATGGTTTTCAGCCCCTCGACCCCCACCGTTTGGAATTCCATTCCACAGTCCTTTCACTTTGCTCACTCCCTTGACTTTTTCAAGGCTATCTCCTCTTGGTCCGTGCATTTGGTCACCCTCCTACCCCCACCCTCCCTGTCCTCCGCCCCTTCTGATCCCGACCCCCAGCTCAGGTCCAAATCCCTGACGGTCCAGCACCTTGGGACCTCCTCCTGGTGTGAACGGTGCTGTACACATGTGATTTGTTGTTGGTGGTGTTGTCCTAAACAGGTTAACGTTTCAGTATTCATTGCTATGAGGTTGTGAAGTAAGTGTGTAGGGCAGTAGCAGCAAGTGCCTGTTACCATTCTGCTTGGCTTTAGTGGCCCATTGGGAGACGTCATCTTGAGCGTGGCTGTCGATGAACACCACCGCTACTTTGGAGGCGTCTTGCAACGGTGATCGCACCCCTTCGATGTCTGTGAAGCTGCTCTGGGACAACTGCTGCAGAGCGAGACCCAGCTTGGACCCTCTGCCCATGTATCTCACTTGGCTCACCGCCTCCTTGATGCCCCTGGCTGTGGTGTGGCGCCCCAGGGCAAACTCAGTGCGGACCTTGGTGGAGTATTGTACCAGACCCACACGGGTGGCATTGGGCGACACTTCCAAAGCACCCACGATGCTGCTGACAAACTGTTTCACCAAATGGAAGTTCTGGGGACCGAGGCTCTTGGAACCGTCAATAACAAAGACGAGGTCCAGTGCTTCTTTTGCACACTCTACACAACAAACACAAGGACGCAAGGATTATTTATTGTACACAGTATGGACCGAAAAGATGGGCACAAAATAATTCCCAGGTCCAACGATATATAACAGCCGGATTGTGTGTTTGCTATATTAATAATAATAATTCTTGTATTTGAATATTTTTAAAACATAATAATTTGGTCACCTGATCCACGATTGTGTGTGAGACGCTGCTGTGCGCGATTGGCTGCCGCGTTTCGCCCACAAAACATACTTTACAGTATATTCTGCGAATTGTTTTGAGATGTATATAAGACGTGATCAGGTTTATTATTTATCAAGGATTATTATTATTGATAGAGTGCCTTATAATAATAATAATAACATAATAATAATAATTATCACATCATTGAGACGTCCAAAGTGCTTTAAAGTATATTTTTGTGGGGAAATGCAGCAGCCAATTGCACACAGCAGTGTCCCACAAACAGGCGTGGATTGAATGACAATTGAGTGACAATTTTTTTTAATGAATTATTACCACCAGAATGCAATCCGCCAATTGACTAAGAACCGGGTTCCTCCTCACTGCTAGGTAAACAGAGGCATGTGGAGTAAGAAAACTTGCTTAAGGTTTCACCCTTCCTGGGAATCGAAACTCTAACCAATACTCCACGAAATATTTGGCGAAATGTATACACTTCAGCGCTCTTAGTCGCTACCCTGCGTGGAGGGTGCTATATAATTGCAAGTTGTTGTTGTTGAATCCGACCTTCAAGGATGAAGTGAAGCAGTAAAACAGTCGGGAAAACACAAGAGTTAAATGGTATTGAGGGACATACGCTGACAAGTCTTCCCATCAGAGTTTAGTGTGTATCCTTGCTGACATCTGCAGACGTAAGAATCTTCAGTGTTCTCACAATCATGTTCACAGCCATGATTTCCCAGGGCGCAGAGGTTAATTCCTGCAGTAACGATGGATAAATGTGTAAAATAATAATAATCTTTGTATTTGATATATCACATCTTCGAGACGTCTCAAAGCACTTCACAGAATATACTGTAAAGTGAATTGACTGTATATTTTGTGGGCAAAACACAGCAGACAACTTGTGAGCAGCAAAGTCTCCAAAACAGCCACGGAGTGAACTGCATATAGAATATGTAACACTTTTGATAGCATTTTCAAAAATTTACCAATTTCATAAATTAATATTTTCCACTTCGCAATAAAAAAGGTGTAATGCAAATCTCTTCTGGATACTCGATAATTATACTGTCCAGTGCCACATAATCCAACAGTGCGGAAGGAAATAATAATAATAATCCTTGTATTTGATATAGCCCTACTCGCATCATCAAGATGTCTCAAAGCGTTTCACAGAATATACTGTAAAGTGAATAGACTGTGTATATTTTGTGGGGGAAAGGCAGCAACCAATTGTGCACAGCAGTGTCCCACAAGCAGTGGTAGGTTGAGTCACCACATTTTTTTTAAAGGGATTGTTACCCCTGGAAAAGTAATCCAACCAATTGATAACAAACTGGTTCCTACTTATTGCTAAGTAAATAGAGGAGTAAGAAAACTTGCTGAGGGTTTTGCCCCACTTAGGAATCGAACCCGGGTCTCCTCGCTTGCAAGGTGGGAGTTCTAATCAATATGCTTCATGGACTCTTCACAAAAGGAATTTTTGTAAGTAATAACAAGATCTTGGACACTTACGCTCACAGCTTTTGCCGTCTGGATTGAGGGTGTAGCCATCATGACATTGGCATATAAACGAGGTCTCTGTGTTGATGCATCTGTGTTCACAGCCATGGTTCCCCAGGGCACAGGAGTCGATTCCTGGCAGCAGGGAAGTCGACAGAAAAGAGAGTCAAGTGACATGATTTCGTCCACAAAATACAAAGTCAATTCACTTTACAATGTATTCTGTGAAACGCTTTAAGACAATGATAAGGCATTGTATCAAATGTAAGGATTACTATTTATTATATAAATTATCTGCATTCACCGACTGTAAAAAGAAAGTGAATGCTGTTGCTTATGCTGCCGGCAGGATATTGATGTGGGTCGCCAATCCAAGCACTGTACTTGCCAGTCCACTTCCCATCAATACTCACCACTCCATGTCCTATCGATTTGAGGGCATAAAAAAGCACAAGCACCTGACTTCAGTATTTGTGAACGCCCACCAAAATCAGGTGTTTGATTTATTAACAATAAAAATAATAATAATAATCCTTGCATTTGAAATAGCAGCGTATCAAGATATTGTGACATTTCAATGAGGCTTCATTGGAATTACTGTGCATTTGCAAGTAAACCAAGCAGTCAATTTGTTACAGCAACGCTCCACAAACAGCTGTGAAGGGAGCGGCCAATTTTATTTGGGGGCTTGTTGGCCAGGATTCCAGGAGATACTCACTACTGTTTTCACATAGTGGCAAAGGATCTTTAATGTCCACCTGAACAGGCAGGTGGCACCTCAGTTTAACGTCACATCCGATGGCTGACGCCTCTAGCAAAGCAGCACAACCCAAACACTGTATTGAGCATCAGCCAAGACTATGTGAGCTCAAAGTCTCAATGCGGGGCTTGAACCCACACAACTTTCTGACTTCGGAGCAAGAGTCAGGCTGACACACAAAAACTAACAACTTGTGCTGCTCAGATTATAACAGTTGATGTAAAAATGTAAGACCAATCTCAAAGTATTGAAACATCGCTATCATTGTTAATATTTACGATAAACAAGTTACTTTTACTAATCACACTTGTTTAGAATACATTTTCCTATGTGTCTCTTGGTAACAAACTGAGGTGCTTACAAGCTCAGGGAAATATGTTTGCGAAAGGGTTTCAAGATTGGTTATAAATAAATGTAGGCGTTCACATAGTAAACACAGTTACTACACCTTCCAGAATAGCCTGTGAGAGGCCTTGACAAATTGGAAGAAATAAGTTAAGAAATACTACAGAATTGATCTTGTTAATTCTTATCGATGACTTTTCTGGGTAAGGTTATTTATTGCCGTACTGTCAGTCATGTGCTGTGAGAATCACGTCTCAATGACACGATAAGGCGCTATATCAAATGCGAGGATTATTAAGGATTATTATAATTTTATTTTGCTGCCACTCGTGTACTTGTCTATCCACTGGACATGGATGAGTGAGTGTATGAGCTGTCGTTTACGTTCAGATGTAAAACAGGTCATTTTTGTTAGAGGCAAATCATGTGATGAAGAAGCTCTAATGGAAAGTTGGTTTAACATTTCGTCCAAAGGACAACACCTCCAACAATATAATGCGCCCCCACCACGCCAATGGAGTGTCAGCCTAGTCTACATGAGTTAAAAGTCCTAACATGCGGCTTGAACCCACAACCTTTTGTCACAACAACAAAATTACATTTGTATAACGCCTTTCACATCGGGAGGACGTCCCAAGGCGCTGGACAGACAGAGTTACGGATCCGAGCTGAGGGTCAGGAAGGGGGAGGGTGGAGGGCAGGGGGAGGAAGCAGGGAGATCGAAAGCACGATCGAAGAGGAGGGTCTTGAGGTGGGTCTTGAAGGTGACGAGGGATGGGGCGAGACGGAGGGACTGTGGCATGGAGTTCCAGACGATGGGTGCATGGAAGCCCCAACCACCGATAGTGAGGCGAGCAAGGCGGGGGGTGTGAAGCAGGCCGGAGCCCGCTGAGCGGAGGGAGCGAACAGGTGGTAGGGGGTTAGGAGGTCGGAGAGGTGGGGAGAACAAGACCATGGAGGGCTTTGAAGGTGAGGACCAGGATCTTGAACTGTATCCTCTGTGTGATGGGAAGCCAGTGGAGTCGGGCGAGGATGGGGGTGATAGGGTCACGGAGCTTAGTGCGGGAGAGGACACGGGCTGCAGAGTTCTGGATGATCTGCAGACTGTGGAGGGAGGAGTTGGGGAGGCCGACAAGCAATGAGTTTGCATAGTCGAGCCTCGATGTAATGAAGGCGTGGATGAGGGTTTCGGCGGCCTGCGGTGGAGAGTGGAGAGAGTGCTACCAAGTGACCCAGGCCAATGCCTCATATCTCCTCAAACACGCTTTTAAATTTGCTTTTACATTTTCTGAGCACCAAATATTTACTGGTTTAGTGTGTTCCCTATAGATCCACTTCACAACACATGCTTTGTAATAAAACATCTGAGAAGCCTCACTTCTACACGTTTTCTTATCATTGTTCAGCACATATCCCTCTTTACATTGGCAAATATAGGATCCAACTGTGTTGATGCAGATGTGTTCACATCCATGGTCAATAGTTCCACAAAGATCTGAATCTGTGAACAGTGGAAAGAGCAAGTGTGTTAATGGTAGGCCTTAACAACGTCATACAAAATAAACTGCAGCGAGATTTTTCCTGTGCGATAACATTAATAATCTTGCATCTGCTGTGCGCAATTGGCTGCCGCATTTCGCCCACAAAATATACAGTCAATACACTTTACAGTATATTCTGTGAAGCGCTTTGAGACATCTCGAAGGTGTGATAAGGTGCTGTATCAAATGCTTGGATTATCATTATTATTTGGTATAGCGCTTTATCATGCTGGAAAGACGTCTCAAAGCGCTTCACAGGGTTTACTGTGAAATGAGTAACTGTGTATTTTGGGCAAATGCAACAGTATAATTGGGTATAGCAATATCTCACAAACAGCCATGGAGCGAATGACCAATTTTATTTGGGGGATTGTTGGCCAGGACACCGGGAGAGAGAAATTCCCTTCTCTTTTGGAATACTGTAGGGCCATGGATGAATGAAGGATGTATAAGGTCAGGTTTAAATCCAAAGTCCTCATACTTCCTGAATTGTAATTCTCTTCCTCTCTCACCAGCCTCACTGTGCTACTCTGCTTCTCAACCCTTCATCTAAGTTTCTCAGACAAATATAAAGATCTGTACCGTCATTATTATTATTAAATTGTTACTCGATCGGCGGACCACTTTCTGGGGGTAATAATCCCTCCCCACAAAATGTTTTTTAAAACAAAATAATAATATGGCCACTGAATTCACGACTGTTTGTGGGACACTGATATGCGCAGCTGGCTCGCATGTTTCCCCCACAAAATATACCATCAATATCAATTCACTTTGCAGTATATTCTGTGCAGTGCTGGAGAGAGTCCCAGCTGTACATAAAGGGGAGTGGAAATCTGGAACTCTCTCCGCCAAAAGGCTGTGGTTGTTGGATCCATTCAAATTTTCAAGACTGAGGTGGATAGAGATTTGTTAGTTTTGGGTCTCAAGGGATATGGGGCAAAGGGGTATAATTGGAGTTGAGGTACAGATCAGCCATAATCTAATAGAATGGCAGAACGGGCTTGAGGGGCTGAATGGTCTACTCCTGTTTATATGTCTCAATAACTTGATAAGGCGTTATATCAAATGCAAGGATTATTATCATTATTATTATCATTATTGTTCTTATTGTCACTATTATAATTATTATTATTAATATCATCATTAATATTATTAATACTGTCAATGGTATTATTAATTAATATGAATACCGTTAATATCATTAATATTATCATCATTATTATTATCATTATTAATAACACTATAAATATTGTTATTATCATTGTACCACAGATTTTGGACTGGAATCCTGAGAGCAGCGTCTCGATCATGCTGAAGTTCTGCACCAGAAAGACGTGGTTGTCGTGGGGCTCGCTTCCGATCAGCCTCAGGATGCTCATGTCCACTCTGCCCACTCCCACAGCAAAAATCAGGATCCCTGAGTCCCTGGCCTGAGCCGCCACCTCCGTCACCCTGTCCTGAGGTCGTCCATCGGTCACTATGATAGCAACGCGTGGCACGTTCCTAGCCAGGGGTCTGGCTCCGGCGCCTTCAGTGAACGCCACGTTCATGGTGTGCTGGATAGCCAGGCCGGTCATGGTGCCACTCTCCAGATGCTCCATGTCTTTGATGGCTCGCACCATGTCCGCTTTCTTCTTGTAGGTCTTCAAAGAGAATATGTCCTCCACAGTGCTGCCGTAAAGGACCAGCCCCACTCGGGTCTTGTCCAGCCCGACATCCAGGAACTTCAGGATGTTGATGAGGAACAGTTTCACTTTCTCGTAATCTTCCGGACGCACACTCCTGGAGCTGTCGATAATGAAGATGAGGTCTAAGGCTTTGCCTCTGCAATCTTCCTCTGGAGAGAAACACAAAGATTAATTGTGAAACCAAACTCGGTACATGATAATAATAATAATTATAATAAAGCTTGCATTTGATATGGTGCCTTATCACGTCATTGAGATATCTCAAATGCAAGGGTTATATAAGAATATCAGCACTCACCTACCTGATTGTATCTGAGGTGCTGCTCTCTGCTTTCCTCTGTCCGATCTGACCCGCTTTGCACGTTGTGTTTGTCTGGCCGGCATTGCACTGTCGATCAGCAAAACTCCCAAGAGAAGGACCAAGGCACACGCACCCCCCATGTCTGACCGTCCCTAAGAATCAACGGCAACATGAAGCATATGGTAAGAATCGAGATGACGAGAAAGATTTTCAATGAAGACTTTGCGAAGAGAATAGTTCCAAAAATCTCTTTGGGTCGCAAAAATACAATGGTGCAACACAATGGATGACATTTGGGCTGGATGATAATTGATATAGTTGAACCAATTGAAATAGAATACTCCTCTCCCCCCTCCTCCCCACTCCCACCTTCCCTCTGCCATGATTCACTGGCTAAATGCACCGCATTATATGGTACAGAATTATCCAGCCCAGGGAGATCTCAGGTTCATTTTGTCTCTATTGAGTTAGCCGGTCTCTGTGAAACCCTAACGGGTAGAGTGGTTCTAGTTGGACAAGCACCGGGAAAGCTTTTTATTTATGAATTCTCTCCGCTCAAGTTATCAGCACCACTGGTTAAAAATAGCTTTCGGGAATAGATACGTTCTCAAGGACTGTATTTGAGATGAAGGCAGATAGATGTGTTAATACATGGTAACAATATTTTCTACATTTTCACTTTGTGTACTGAATAGTGTCCTTGGGGGTAAAGGAATAGATATTCAGTGGAAACTAAATCTTTCAGACTACACTAAGACACTGGCGGTTCATTGTGGAATAATACTACTACTAATAAAAATCCTTGCATTTGATATAGAGTCTTATCACATTGTTCGATTCCCGGACAGGGCGAAACCATAGGCAAGTTTCCTTACTCCATATGCCTCTGTTTCCCTAGCAGTAAGTAGGAACCCAGTTGTGGGTAGATTGGCGGATCACGGTAATAATATCTTAAAAAATACTACTAATAATAATTTGGTCACTTAATCCAAGACTGTTTGTGGGATACTGCTGTGCGCAATTGGCTGTTGAGTTTCGCCACAAAAATATACTTTACAGCACTTTGAGATGTCTCAACAACATGATAAGGAGCTACATCAAATGCAAGGATTATTATAATTATTATAACTGAGTTGGAGCAACACTAGATTTGGTGACAATGCACTTGTCTCAGGAACAGCATCAAGAAACAACTACAAACAGAGCTTGGATTTATGATAGATCTTGTTTTTACAAAGAATTCTGCAGAAGCACCGTGCAAACCAAATATACATTTTTTTGCAACAAAACACACCTCTTTAAATAAAAACAGAAACATAAATCTAATAAAAACAAATCCCAGCAATTAATCGTCCTGTAGCTCAGTGGTTAGAGCACTCGCTTTGCAAGTGAGAGACCTGAGTTCAATTCCAGGCAGAGGGCGAAACCTTGGGCAAGTTTCCTTACTCCACACATAGCCTAATAATAATCCCTCCAAAACCAAAAACAATAATTAAATTGGTCATTTTCAATCTACGACTGTTTGTGGGACATTGCTGTGCGCAATTGGCTGCCGCGTTCGCCCACAAATATACAGTCAATTCACTTTACAGTGTATTCTGTGAAGCGCTTTGGGACGTCCTCCTGACGTGAAAAGCGCTATATCAAATGCAAGGATTATTATTATTATTATTATTATTAATAAATCAGTCGCACTTTGTGGAAGGATCTCTAACTTGGTTAGTATTAACAAACTATTGACGACAAGAATAACTTTCCCATAGTATTATTTTTTTGGTGATACAATGCGAGAGATGCATAAAGTTACCTGTTAGGGGGTGAGCTCCCTTCTGAAGTTTTGAGTTACAAGTTGGAACAGATGTGTACTTGCAGCCGGGCTGATGGGTTAGGATGCGAATGAACCCGACGTGAATGAAGTTTTGCTCCTAGACTGTGCTGGGGGAAGCGAGGTAGAGAGACAGAGAGAGACGTTCTGGCAAACACAGTGCTGTAACTGAAATAAAAACACCCGATTTTTGTTTGTGGAGCCGTCTCTGTGATCAGACAAGCCTTCAATCATCGCTACCAAACAGGTCACCCACACAACGAGAGTTTGACATCTGAAAGAGTTTTTGAACCAAAAGCGCTCACATTATATGTTATGATTTCCATTTAGGATTAGAGAAGCGTGTGGAAACAGTGGGTTGACCAATCGCCAAAAGAAATAATTCACAAAATTACACTTAATTACGGCTGAGGGAGTTAAAGGGTGGGGGGGAAGTTGGTGGGGGCAATGTGGAAATTCATACCTGGGGTGCGGAAATTTAAAGCTCGCTTCAAGGGCTTAAGTGAAAATATAATCATAGAATCTTACAGCACAGAAGGAGGCCATTCGGCCCATCGTGCCTGTGCCAGCTCTTTGAAAGAGCTACCAACTAGTCTCAATCCCTCGCTCTTATCCCATAGCCTTGCAAATGTTTCCTTTTCACGTATATATCCAATTCCCTTTTGAAAGTTGTATTGAATCTGTTTCCACCACGCTTTCAGACAGGGCATTCCAGACCATAACAGCTCTTTGTGTAAAACCATTTCTCCTCATCTCCCCTCTGGTTCTATTGCCAATTATCTTAAATCCGTGTCCTCTGGTTACCGACCCACCAGCCAGTGGAAACAGTTTCTCCTTATTTATTCAATCAACATTCTTCATTTTGAACACCTCTATTAACTCTCCCCTTAACCTTCTTTGCTCTAAGGAGAGCAATCCTAGCTTATCTAGGCTCTCCACATAACTGAAGCCACTCATCCATCCCTGCTATCACTCTATTAATACAATTTATATTTAGATAGCGCTGTTCTTGTCAGGAGGACATCTCAAAGCTCCTGCAGTGCGGAAGGAGGGCTCACTGAATGCACAAGGGTAAGGGCGGGCAAAACATTCTCCTGCAGATACTCCAAGGAGATGAGAACCTCATCATCTCCAGGATAACTGATTTAAATTGCAGGTGGAAAGGACAATTTCACTTTGACGAGGGCTGGCAAGTATCAAACAATTACAAAGAATGTATAGCATAGAAACAGACCACTCCACACCAGTTCATGCCGGTGTTAAAATTCCACCCGAGTCTTCACCCATTCCTTTACTCCTTCCCATATCCTTCTATTTCACTCTCCCTCACGTGAAGGTCTAGTTTCCTCTTGATTGCAGTTACACCATCTGATTCAAGCACCATTTTAGGCAGCGAGTTTTACTATCTCACTATCCTCTGTGTGATATAGTTCCTGCTAAATTATTTTTCAGATCCCCGGTTGCTATCTTATCACTTTGTTACGGATTCTGCATTTCTGGTTATTGGCTGCCGCGTTTCACCCACATACACAGTCAATCCACATTACAATAGATCTTGTGAAGCGCTTTGAGATGTCTCAATGACGTGATAAGGTGCTATATCAAATGCAAGGATTATTATTGTTGTTGTTTAAAGAAAAGGATTCCTGGGTTAAATGCTTACCTCGAGGTTGCCAATCAATTGGCTGTTATGGTTGTTGATGCTGTAACCTCCAGGAATGAATTAAATGACCAAATAAGAGCAAAATCAAATACAGTCAAATGCAAATACAATTGCTGTGTGGGATTGTCAGAGGGGCTGGCGTTTGGATGAGACATTAAACTGAGGTCTTGACTGTCTGTTCAGGTGGATGGTAATGGTCCCTTGGAACTATTGGAAGCGAGAAGGGAGTTTCTCCCAGTGTCCAGGCTGGGTGACAATTAAACAGATATAAATCGGAAACAAAGGCAAAATATCGCTGGGAACACTCAGCAGGTCAGGCAGCATCACACAGTATCCATGACCGTTCGTCAGATAAAAATCGGTGTTTCACTTTGCGGCTGTTTGTGAGACCTTGGCGCTTGCCAAGGAATGTCATTGCACTCGACAGCAATTGCCTGTGAAACTCTTCCAATTATTTCTGACGTTCTAGGCATCATATCAAATGTAAGCATTATTAATCAGGATTTAAAAGGGAAAAGCTTGCCAGAGAGTGCTGTGTATTTGGAGGCAAAGGCATCAGCACAATTGTACACAGCAGCATCCCACACACAGCCATGGAGTGAATAACTGATTTTATTTGCGAGATTGATGGCCAGGTCACCGGGAGAGAGAAACTCCCTTCTCTTTTCAAATAACGCCGTGAGATCTTAACGTCCACCTGAACAGGCAGACAGGCCCTCGGTTTAATGTCTCATCCAAAGGACGGCACCTCCAACAATGCATCACACATCCCGAGCACTGCATTGGAGCAACAGCCTAGAGTACGAGTTCAAGTCCCGACTCTATTTGATTTTGTTACAGACAGATATGATGCATCCATTGAGTTGATCATCCTGCCCCCTCCCAAGCCATGCGATAATGTACGTGAGGTTTCAGGGCTGATAATCCTAGGACACTGGGATTTAATGAAAGGTTGCCGTAGGCAAAGTGTTGGTGGGATTACGTTTTTAGTGGCTGCTTTGCTGACTTGTACCAGGAGATGGCAATTGAACCTTGCCGAAAACACGCGCTTACAATAGAAGGGCAAAGATATTACAAAAAAAGCAGCATTTGAATTACTCCTGCATGGTCAGGGTAACAAAAGTTTCTAAGACTACAGGGACTGTAATGTAGCATATTGGTTAGAGCAATCACCTCGCAAGCGAGAGGACCCAGATTTGATTCCCGGGCAGAGTGAAACATTAAGCAAGTTTCCTTACTTCACATCCTCTGTTTACTTAGCAGTAAGTAGGAATCTGGTTGTTAGTCGATTGGTGGATCGCTTTCCGGGGGGAATAATCCCTTCAAAATGAATAAATTAAAAATAATAATAATTTGGTCACTCACTCCACGTTTGTGGGACACTGCTATGCACAATTGGCTGCTGGTTTTCACCCCAAAAAATATAGTCAATCCATTTTGTAGTATATCCTGTGAAACGTTTTGAGACGTCTCAACGACGTGATAAGGCGCTTTATCAAATACAAGCATTATTATCAATATTATCAAATAACTGTATGTCAACCTGGATTCACTCTCACCTCTGAGTCAGAAAGTTGTGGATTTAAGCTCCACTTCAGGACTTTGAACTCACAGTCTAAGCTGATGCTCCAATACAGGGCTGCAGTAGCAGAGGTGCCATCCTTCAAATGCATGATGTTAAACCAAGGTCCCATCTGCCTGTTCAACAGGTTAGAAGAATAGGAACTGAAGCTTTGGTCACCTGGTCCAGGCTGATGTTCTAATACAGTGCTGGGGGTGTGTTGCATTGCCTGTTTGCAATCGCCTGTTCAGGTGAATGCTAAAGATCCCATGGCATTATTGGTGCACTGTTCTCTCTCCCTTTGTCCTGGCTAACAATCCTTCAAATAAAAATTGGTCATTCATTCAATTCTTGTTTCTGGGACATTGAAAGGCCCTATACCAAATGCAAGGATTATGTAAAGAGTTGTTTTGGGGGGGCGGGTGGGGGAATGTGGGTAGCCAGTTGGAAGGAATGCAGGATGGAGCTCCAGAGGGCATGGGCAGAAAGCCCAGCCGACCATTTTGGAGTGGGGAGACATGAAGCAGACTGGAATCTCATTAAAAAAAACTAACACTGGCTCTCCTTATGTCAGGTTGTCACTGAGTTGGGCTATTGTCCAGGTATCTGCCGGAGAGACTGTCAGTGCTATATTTCTGGAGTTTTCCAAAAGCTGTAAAAATAAATTCTGACAATATTTAAAGATGAGACAAATTTATCAAAGACGTCTAGTAACTTCTCAATTAGCTCAACTTTCCATATATTTTTATGGCGCTGGCTGTTGTCATAATGTGTCTGTTATATTCTTGTATTAGCAATAACACATGGCAGAGGGTCCTTTGCCAAATGTTCCTTTTCCACTGCAGAATATGAAGCTTTACAGTTGTCCCAATTTGGCTAGATTTGTTGATGTGCAGTATTACAGGGTTTCTGAATGGAATACAGATTATTGATTTACTGCTAGCTTCAATCGTCTCAATTAAATGTATACAATAATAATAATAATCACGTCTCAAAGACGTCTCAAAACACTTCACAGAATATATTGTAAATTGAATTGACTGTATATTTGGTGGGCAAAACTCAACAGCCAATTGCGCACAGCAATGTCCCATAAACAGTAGTGGGAAGAACGGGATATATATCAGCATATAACCATCTTCTAGGCAATGTCATTCAGAAACTGAAGCCCTAAATATTCACAGTCTGAACTATAGACCAATATTTTAAATTGCAATATTACTGTGGGATTTGAGAAAATTCACATATTCAATCTTAATTCGGAATCTGGCCTTTTGCGGTCCTTAAAAAAGAAACAAACCACGGAAACCTGGCTTCAGATTGTGACGTAAAGAAGTTGGGGCCTTTAACTGACCAGTGGCATCACAGTACGGCTGCAGTAATAACACGTTTGTCTTCAAAGCCACATCGGTTTGCCTGATCCCAATTTGCCTGCAAATGGTAACCTCTGAAATGACCAGGTGTAAAGCTAATGCTCCTTTTGTCCATCACACCAGTGAGCCCTGCGATCGCATTAATAAGGAAGGAATAGAACCGCATAGAATGCCCTGAAAAACTTGTAGCTTTAATAATAATAAATAATAATCCTTACATTTGATACAGCATCTTATCACATCATTGAGACGTCTCAAAACGCTTCACATAAAGATACTGACTGTGTTTGTGGGCGAAATATGGCAGCCTGTTTGCGTACAGCAATATCCCACAAACAGCCATGGAGTGAGTGACCAATTTTATTTGGGGGATTTGTTGGTCAGGACACCAGGAGAGAGAAACTCCTTTCTCTTTTTGAATAATGCCATGAGATCTTTAACATCCACCTGAAGGGCAGACAGGACCTGGTTTAACGTCGCATTTGAAGGACGGCACCTGCGACAATGCAACACTGCACTGGAGTGTCAGCTTAGACCGTGTGATCCCAAGTCACGATGTGGGGCTTGAACCCACAACCTTCTGACTCAAAGGCGAGAGAGTGCGCTATGCATTTCCACCCTTATCACTACATTATTGCTACTATACTTCTTTTGTAAAACCACCGTTTCAGGCAAAGAGGTACCAGAGGCATCACTCGCAAAACTCACAGAGTCAGCTTGCCAAGCTTTTATTGATGCACGGTTAGTTACAGGCAAGTCTGAATTTGAATGGGCAAGTCTTCAATAAAGGTACAGCAATTTAATTCATTAACAATCAAGTTACACGCACACACACAAAAGCTGGAAACTAAATAACGTTTCATATGATACAAGCATTAAACACAGCTATTCAAAGACTCAAGGTTCAGATAAATTCACGTTGCTCCACCCTAGGGATTTTAAACAATTTAAAATCATTTCGGCATTTGCTTCAACCATTTACTTGAACTTTAGAATATAATAACTATGATGGAAAGATGCACGTGTGAAAGAGAGAGTGTGAGTGAGAGAGAGAGAGAACCATGAAATGTGACGCAGAAGAAACTTTGAATACAATCCTTAATCAAACCAGGAAGAGGTGGATTTAATTTGCTTTTTCACCCCCAAGACAATGATGATTAATGAAAGCAGAATGATTGCACCTTTATGTTGCTGTGTGAGACGCCCACACCGATGTGAAGTGTTTCCACTGAAAAATTAAGCTGTTCAGAGAACGACAAAGGACCCAAGTGCTCAAAAACAATTTCCCTGGACTTCACATTTTGAAACAGTTTCTTTGTAAAACTCTGTACAGGTTTTTTTTAAAAGTCTTCGAACTAGGCTCGCAACAGTAATAGGGCTCTGGAAGCTGCACTGCGTGAGAGGCGATATACAAATCAATAAAATTGTTGTTGTGGAACTATGCTCAAAACAGTGATCTGCGAGACAGTAACAGCCGGCAGGAAATAATTACAGCAGCGACTTCGAGATGAATTTTAGAAGCTACAGGCAACTCCTGATAACTCGTCACTCCAAGGGAAAGGGGCTCAGTGGCAAGTTATCTGGAATATGTGCTGGGATATTGGCAACGTGATGACTTAAGTGAAGGTGGTCCAACTGGTGCATCTGGCCCAGGGGATGGCCTGCGAACCATTCCCAACTTCACTGTTTGACGAGCAAATACAGGAGACAGTCACCAGGGGCTCAGGCTCTGCCCGACACCGGGACTGGCCAAATAGGATAAAATATTGCTTATTATGTGTCCCCCGGACGTTTCTCAAATCCAACATCAAGCCCTCAGCAGCCATAAGGTTGGACCACCCTGATTTAAGTGGTAGTGACAATTTAAGCCAGGCTTGAGTTATCAGGAGTTTACTGCATTTCATTTTAAAGGGGTTTAGCAGGAGCCATAAAGCACAATTTAAGTGTCCTTCTTATTGCATCTTAATTCCAAAGTCAGCAACTGAACAGTGCAGAACAGATTCGTAACTCGAGATCACTTCTCTCGGCAAATAGGAAAAGATCTATGTGCAACGGAGCAGACAGAGTGTTTCTCCAAATTACTCTCGATCTGATGGTGTGCGCACGCATCCAGGTCGCTTTAAATTCTCTCCCGGGTTATTTTGTTTTACACCGACATGTAAGGAGGAGGAGGTTCCTTCACAGGCATCATCACAGCTTCCTCGTAAGGTGGCAGAAGGACCTGGGTAATAAAAGAATAACACACGACCGCACAGTTTAGCACATCGTTAACATAAGCGGAGAAGCAATAACCTATCAGGAATTCTTCATATAATAATATAACAATCCTTGCATTTGCTATAGCACCTGATCATGTCACTGAGACGTCTCTGTAAAGTGAATTGACTGGATATTTTGTGGGCGAAATGCTGCAGCCAATTGCACGCAGCAATGTCCCACAAACAGTCATGGATTGAGTGACCAGATTTTTTTGGGAGGTTTTATTACCCCGGATTATTTTGCATCCTTTCAAAAACATCCACCCAACCGTGTCTCCCCACCACACCATCAAGCTGCTTTTTTATAAATGAGTCCATTTTCCTAGCCTCAACCACCTTCCTGGCAATCTGTTCCAGTCATTAATTCATTCCCCTCTGAATAAAGAAAAAATTCTCCTTTGCAACTTTAAATCCATGTTCTTTGGGTGAGTATTTAATCCAAGGTCCCGATGTCTGCCTATTCAGATGGATGTTAAAGATCCTGTGGCACACTTCGTAAAGAGAATGGAGTCTTTCTCTCCCCGTGTCCTGGCCAACAATCTCCCCAAATAAAATTGGTCACTCACACCATGCCTGTATGTGGGGGGACATTGCTGAATGCTTATTATTATTATTATTATTATTATTATTATTATTATTATTATTATTATCATCATGTCTTCTTAAATAGCATAATAATAATCTTTGCATTTGATATAATAATAATATAATCTTCTCGACGTCTCAAAGCGCTTCACAGAATATGCTGTAAAGTGAGTTGACTGTATATTTGTGGGCGAAACGCGGCAGCCAATTGCGCACAGCAGCGTCCCACAGACAGTCGTGGATTGAAAATGACCAATTTATTATTGTTTTGGAGGGATTATTATTAGGCGTGTGGAGTAAGGAAACTTGCCCAAGGTTTCGTCCTGCTATAACAACTTATCACACTTTTGAGACATCTCAAAGTGCTTTACAGAATACACCGTAAAGTGAATTGACTATTTTATGGGCAAACCACGGCAGACAATTGCGCACAGCAGTGTCCCACAAACAGTCAAGGATTGATTGAACAAATTATGAATTGTTTTAAAGGGAATATTTCCCCCGGAAAGTGATCCGCAAATCGACTGACAACTGCATTCCTACTTACTGCTAGATAAACACAAGCGTGAGGAAACTTGCCCTGCCCGGGAATCAAACCTGAGTCCTCGCTTGCAAGGCGAGTGCTCTAGCCAATATGCTACAGGACTCCACCTTACAGCCATGTTAAGGTGCTGAAGCTCCACAGAGAATCACCAGAACTCAGGATGAAGAGCACCCCAGTTGCTTACCCAGTGGGTCCCACACTGGGAAACATAGTGATGGCCAAGAGTAAAAAACAACATCCTGGCAAAACCATATGGAAAGGTCTACTAATGTGATAATGCTCCTTGTCTGCCAATATGCTGGCATCAGGACTTTGATAGCAATCTGTTCCATGATCTCAGCCAACCCAAAACTCCTTCACATGGCAGTGCTAGCCTTCCCTTGTGATGAACGACCACTGTCTCAGATACATCCAGAGATAATATAATAATAATACTGCTTGCATTTGATGCACGGCGTCTTATCTTATTATTGAGATGTCTCAAAGCGCTTCACGGAATATACTGTAAAGTGAATTGACTGTATATTTTGTGGGCAAAACAGGGCAGCCAATTGCACACAGCAGCGTCCGGGTTCCTACTTACTGGTAGGTAAACAGAGGCGAGTGGAGTAAGGACACTTGCCTAAGGTTTCACTCTGCCCGGGTATCAAACCTGGGTCTCTCGTTTGCAAGGTGAGCGCACTAACCACCAACCTCTATGCAATGGGATTCCATCCAAAGTGATACAACAACAAAATTACATTTATATACTGTCGGAACAATGTCCCAAGGCCCTGGACAGTTAAAGGTTTGCATCTGAGCTGGGGGTTGGAGGCCAAGAGTTGGTGGGTGGGTGACCGAAAGCACAATCAAAAAAGAAAGCCTTGAGAACGCCTTGAAGGAGGCAAGGGAGGGACGAGGCAAAGGCACTGTGAGATGGAGTTTCAAAGGGTGGAGATAGAAAAGCTGAAGGCATGGCGGGGGGACATGGAGCAGGCCAGCGATCCACCAATCGACTATGGATGGAGCTTACCAGTGCCACTAGTTTCGCCTGTCGGGAATGGTATAAGACGCAGCCACAAAATACTTATGAAACATCAAGAGGGGAAGGATTCCAACTGAAATGCAAGGCAGTTTCCAAGTACCAAAGGCGCCAGCAGAACTTGAAAGGTATAATTAGAGCTCAGTGCTGGTACTAATGGAAAAAAGCCATAACATAGCATAGCAAACACAAAGGCTCAGGCCTCCCCAATAAGGCTCCATTAGCAAAGGATAGACTCTGCAATAGAAGGAGTGGACTTCAGTGGACTCAATGGCCTTTTCTCAATCCACGTTTTCCTATGTTCTCGGGCAAACACCATATCCCAGGGAGTGAGTCCACAAAGTTGGAACTCTTTTGTTTTGATTGGGAGTTCTGGCCGGGTGCGGAAATACATCACCGCATGTTTTCCCACAAAACACACAGTATATCCTGTGAAGCACCTTGAGTCCCATAGCGTAAAAATAATAATAATAATCCTTGCATTTGATATAGTGCTTTTCATGTCTTCTAGACGTCTCTAAGGTCTTCACAGAGCATCACCTCCCAAGCAGGAGGACCCGGATTCGATTCCCAGGTGGGGTGAAACCTTAGGCAAGTTTCCTTACTCCACACACCTCTGTTTACCTAGCAGTATGTAGGAACCCAGTTGTCAGTTGATTTGACAAATCGCTCAAAAAAAAATTTAAATTGTGGGTCACTCAACTTTGACACGACTGGTTGGGGGAGACTGCAGTGCACAATTGGCTGCCGCATTTCGGACGCAAAATAGACAGTCAACTCACTTTACAGCCTTTTCTGTGAAGCAAATTTGAGTCGTCCAGAAAACGTGACAAGTTGCTATATCAAATGCAAGGATTATTTTATCTATTACTATTGAAATGTCCTCAAAGAGATTGACAGTGATAGAGAGCGTACTTCAAAATTAAGAGACACTGTGATTTTCTGTTCACAGTGGTTAGGGCTGAAGTATTGCAAGTGGTTTCCATATGTCAGACACTTGTCTGAACAAAAAAAGAACTGAAAAGGTTTTCTATCCTTTTTCATATATAAAAAAGCTTCAATTTCTACGAACAGGACATTGAAGAAGGTTTCAGTGTTGATTGAGCTTAAAGGCTTTTAAAACTCTAGACCAGCTGAGCTAGTATTTCATTAGTGGAAAACCTTGCCTTATCCAACTTAAACTTCTACTGTGTTCATATTTTCTCAAACTCCAGCGCTCTGGGATAAAAATAATTTTGAGAAGGCATGTCCTTGCTGAACCTGCTCCAAACCGTAGGAAAATATTCTTTATTGTGCTGAGTTTCTGGTTCAGAACATGCTCCACACAATATTTAAACCAATGATAGAGAATTTTTCATTATTATCTGCTGCATTTCACCCCCAAAATACACAGTCACTCTACTTCGCAATACATTCTGTGAAGCGCTTTGAGACGTCTCAATGATGTGATAAGGCGCTGTATCAAATGCAAGGATTATTATTATACAATGCCAACTCTCCTAGAAATCGACACCATGGGGTTGAAATAATAATTATAATCCTAGCAGTTGATATAGCACCTTATTGACTCATTCAGCCGTCTCAAAGCGCTTCACAGGATATGCTATAAAATGTAGTGACGGTGTGCGCACAGCAATGTCCCACAAACAGCCCTGAAGTAAGTGATCAATTTTTATCCAGGACATTGTTGGCCAGGACACTGGGAGAAACTCTCTTCTCTATCTGAATAATCCCATGAGATCTTTAAAGTCGACCCAAACAGACGAGAGAAACGGGGCCTCAGTTTAACATCTCATCTGAACGATGGCATCTCCAACAATGCAGCACACCTCCAGCACTGCACCAGAACATTAGCCTAGACTGTGAGCTCAAAGTCCCGATGCTTTTATCTCCCTTTTCAGTTCATTTTGTTCTGTTATTATTACACCAGTATATGAATGCTGAAAATTTTTCCACGACGAGTTAAGAAACCCAGTTGGTAGGATTGTGGCAACGATGTGTAAACATGTAAGTTTGGAATTAATTATTTAATAACAGCCATAAATAGCCAAGCCAGGGAAGCAAATTGGAGTTGAGGAGGTGAGTGATAGATGGAAGCCAGAATGGGAAGTGAACACATGACACTTCCAGCACTTCATCGGAACGTCATCTTAGATTGGTTCTAAGTTCCAACATTGGGATTCAACCCTCATCCTTCCAACTCAGTGGTGAGAGTGCTATGAACTGAGCCAGGCTAACACACCAACTGTCATAATAATAATTTTTGCATTTGATAGAGCACCTTATCACATCGATAAGACGTCTCAAAACAGCTCACAGGATATACTGTAAAATGGATTGATTGTGTATTTTGTGGGCGAAACACGGCAGCCAGTTGCGCACAGCAATGTCCCACAAACAGTCATAAACAGCCATGGAGTGAGTGATCAATTTTATTTGGGGGATTATCAGCCAGGACACCGGGAGACAGAAACTCCCTTCTCTTTTCCAATAGTGCCATGGGATCTTTAACATCCGCCTGAACAGGCAGGTGGGACCTCAGTTTGATGTCTCGTCAGAAGAACAGGATGTTATTATTCCATATTTTATAAAGAATTATAAATAAGATCTGGTTCGATTTTGAAAAGATATGCATCAAGATTCAGTAACTCGATGAAAGTTCTCTAACGCAAGTTAGAACGAGAAAATGATGTGTGCATCCTCGGCAACCCAAAAAGTGGCACAAACCCTGTGACCATGCCAGCTATCAACATGTCTGCAGCACTTGGCAACACACAAAAACATTAAAACCATCAATGTCGAATACAACTTATTCATTCAGATCAGGCCAAAGACAATCTAACATTCATTTGAGTTATTAATGCACCTGTCAGTCGTTGAGCTGGATTTATACACTTAACTACTGCTTTGAGAATTTGCGGGCAAAAATTCAGTCAACGGTGTGACGGTAACAGATCCTTATGTAATTCAAAGACTGTATAAGGTCTGTATGACGTTGCAAGACACTGGAGCTTGAGTTGAAGGTATTCTTAGGCTTTGTAAATGTTGTTGAGGTTATAATTTAAAACAATTTACAACTGCCCAGTCTGCTGGTTATCCGGCTAGTCACAAAATATTAATAATAACATAATAATAGTTTCTTTGATATAGTGCCTTATCACGTCGTTGAGACGTCTCAAAGAGCTTCACAGAATATACTGTAAAGTGAATTCACGGTATACTTGTAGGCGAAACACGGCAGCCAATTGTGCACAACAGGGTCCCAAAAGCAGTCGGGGAGTGAGTGACTAAATTATTATTATGTTTTTTTTCGAAATGATTATTACCACCGGAAAGCCATCCACCAATCGACTAACAATGGGGTTCCTACTTACTGCTCGGTAAACAGAGGCATGTGGAGAAAGGAAACCTGCCTGGGAATCAAATCAGGTCCTCTCGCTTGCGAGATAAGTGCTCCAACCAATACGCTACAGGACTCCACAAATATCACAAGATCGGTTCAGGTGAAGAAGATCATTTGGCCCATCTGATCTCACCCTTCCAGAACATCCACCTTAAAATCTCCTCATCACAGCATCAAGCTACTTTTTGAATTAGTGCTCGTGTCCTGGCCCCTTTCCTCCTCCTCTCTCAGTCATGCTGTGGTATGCTACCACATCTGCTGGCAGCACTCACTCTTCCGTATTATCATGACCTTTCTTCATATCTTTATTCATATCATACAGAGACCTGTAGTTTAGTGGTTGGAGCACTCGCCTCACAAGTGAGAGGATTCGGGTTTGACTCCCAGGCAGGGCAAAACCTTAGGCAAGTTTCCTTACTCCACACACCTCTGTTTACCTAGCAGTAAGTAGGAACCTGGTGGTTAGTCGATTGGCGGCTCGCTCTCTGGGGGTAATAAGCCTATCAATAAAAATCAAAAAAAAATGTTGTCACTAAATCTATGACTGTTTGTGGGACACTGCTATGCGTAACTGGCTGCTGTGTTTTGCCCTCAAAATATAGAATCAAATTATTTTACAATATATTCTGTGAAGTGCTTTAAGACGTCTCAATGTTGTGATAAGGCGCTATATCAAATGCAAGGATTATTATTATTAGAAGGATTATTATAGAGTCATAGAATCACAGAATTATAATTTTGAAAACTTCTATTAAGTCTCCTCTTAACCATCTCTGTTCCAAGGAGAATAATCCCAGCTTCTCTCGCCTCTCCTCAAACTGAAGTCCCTCATTCCTGGTACCATCCTGGTAAATCTCCTTTGCTCCCTCTCCAATGCCTTGACATCCTCCCTGAAGTGTGGTGCCCAGAACTGAACACAGTCTCTCGCTGAGGTCTAACCAGTCTTTTATAAAAGTTCATCATAACTTCCTGACTTTTGTACTCTATATCCCTATTTATAAAGCCCAGTATCCCATATGCTTTTTTAACAGCGTTATCTACCTGTCCTGCCACCTTCAAAGATTTACTTATATAATAATAATAATCCTTGCATTTGATATAGCGCTTTTCACGTCGGGAGGATATATTCATATATGAATCCCCAGGTCTCTATGTTCCTTCACTTCCTTTAAGATTGTACCATCTTATATTGTCTTCTTCCTTCCAAAACGCATCACTTCCCATTTCCCCACATTAAACTTCATCTGCCACGTGTCTGCCCATTTTACCAGTCTGTCTATGTCCATTTGCAGTCTGCTACTATCCTCCTCACTGTTTACTACTGTTCCTAGCTTAGTAACATCTGCAAACTTGGAAATTGTACTCGTTATACCCAAGTCCAGGTCATTTATATAGAATAAAAACAGCAGTGGTCCCAATACTGACCCCTGGAGGACACCACTGCACAATTCCCTCCAGTCAGAGAAACAACCGTTCACCACAACTCTCTGCTTTCTGTCTCCCAGACAGTTCTGTGTCCATGCTGTCACTGTCCCTTTAATACCGTGGGCTTTTATGTTGCATACAGGTCTCTTATGCAGCACTTTTGGGGAGGACGAGTTTGCAGGGCTTTGGGGAGAGCGCGGGGGAGTGGGATTGTATTGGATAGCTCTTTTAAAAGAGCCGGCACAGACACAAAGGGCCGAATGACCTCCTTCTATGCTGTATAATTCTACAATTTATCAAACGCCTTTTGAAAATCCATATAAACTACATCAACTGCACTACCTTCATCCACCCTCTCTGTTACTTCATCAAAAAACTCTATCAGGTTTATCGGACACGATTTGGCTTTAACAAATCCGTGTTGGCTGTCCTTTATTAACCCATATTTTTCTGACTGAAAATTGATTTTGTCCCGGACAAAAAGACCGAGGTTTGGAAATGTACCGAGAAGAGGAAAGTAAAGAATGTCAATTGTGCTATAAAGCACAAAAGTTACGTCAGGCTGTTTTATCCTTACCGCAGTGTCGTTCGTGGTGACGTAGACCAAAACGTCTGATGAATTCCTGCTGTTGATGTATCTGTAGCAGTTCCAGACGCAACCAATTAGGTAAGCCTGTACGTCACAGAAGAAGGGAGATTTAATGGTCATTTTAACGAGCGTATGACAATCGCTGGATTGGCTGTCCTTGAACAAAACCATCGTCTTTATCTTTGTTACAGATTTCAGACAGACACAAAGATCTAATGAACCAAACAATAGTCATGCATCAGTTTAATAGCCACTGTCGTTTCATAAATTCGGTCAAAATAAAACCATTCCTCTCTTTGTCTACAACAACAACTTGCATTTATATGGTGGCCCTCACACAGGGTAGCGTCCCAAAGCCAGGGAGAGAGGGAGTGGGAAGGTGACTATAACCACGATCAAAGAGGAAGGTTTTTAGGTAGGATTTGAAGTGGGGAGGGAGGGGGCAAGGCAGAGGGATTGAGGGAGAGAGTTCTATAGTTTTGGGGTGTCGAGGAGGGCATTGAAATAGTCTAGCCGGGAAGTGCCGAAGACATAGACGAGGGTTTCAGCTGCGTCGGTTGTGAGATAAGGATGGAGGGGGGGCAATGTGACGGAGGTGGAAAAAAGCGTTCCTGGTCAGGGAACGGATGTGTGGTAGGCAGGAAAGCTGGGGATCGAACCTGACATCTAAGTTTCGCACAGGTTCAGAGAGTCTGAGGGAGGTTGAGGAGTTCAGACCTGCAGGAAAAAAAAGGACGTGGACAGGACATCAGCATTCTGGGAGTCGCAGTTGGAGAAGGAGAAGTAGATTTGCGTGTCATTCGCATACATGTGGAAGTTGACCCCATGTCTGTGGATCACATCGGTGAGTTGGAGCATGTAGATAAGGAAAAGAAGGGGACCAAGGATGGATCCGGGCGGGGGCGAGAGGATAAACCATTGGCTGAGATGACCATTGGTTAAGTAGGACATGCGAGTACAGTCCCACTAAGGTGGATGAGGGAGGAGAGGCGGTGGAGGAGGATGACGTGATCAACTATGTCAAACACGGTGGAGAGATCCAGGAGGATGAGGAGGCAGAGGGAGCCCTGGTCACAGAGAGAGAGGACGTCACTTGTTACTTTCACGAGCGCTGTCTCTGTGCTGTGGGCAGGGCGGAAACTAGAGGGGTTCGAGTAGGAAGTGGAGGGCGAGGCATGAGGTTTGCAACAACGCGTTCGAGGGCTTTGGCCAGGAAGGGCACGTTTGAAATGGTACAGTAATGCGTGAGGTTGAAGGGATCAAGAGTAGGTTTTTTTAAGGAGGGGAGTGATGACAGCTGTTTTGAGGGGGAGTGGGACTGAGCCTGAGGAGAGGGACTGATTTATGGTGTCTGCCAGCAGTGGGTAGAGGAGGGGGAGCTGGGTGATCAGCAGCTGGGTGGGGAGAGGGTCGAGGCAGCAGGTGGTGGGTTTCATCTGGGTGATGGAGGATGAGAGGGAGGAAGGAGAGGTGGGGTCAAAGAAGTTGGGGAGTGTAGGTTAAGCATGATCAGGGTCACGATAAGGCTTGCGTAGATGGTCGCTGTCAGCACAGAAACGAATAACAACTACAACAACTTGAATTGGCACAGCGCCCTTCAGTCGCCGTAGGGGGTAGCATCTCGGAACGCTTCACAATGATGGAGTTTGACACCGAGCCTGGGAGAAAGTGGAGTTGGCCGTAAGCTCAGTCGAACTGAGTTCTGAAGAAAGGTCATCGACCTGAAATGTTAACTCACTTTCCTCTCTCCATAGATGCTGCCTGACCTGCTGTGTGTTCTCAGTGACTTCTGTTTTTATTTCAGATTTCCAGTATCTGCAGTATTTGCCTTTGCCTTTCTTTACTTATTTACTTACTGGGTCCTCCCCAACCCAGTACCCACTGCCTCTGCTTGACTGGCTCCAGCCTCCTGCATGTCCCTCGTGCCCCCCGCTCCACCATCAGTGGGCGCACTTTCATCCACTAAGTTGTGGTCGTTGTGCATTTGAAGGCGAACATGGCAGCCCAATTGCAGACAGCAAAGTCCCACAAACAGCCATGAAATGAACGACCAATTTTCTTTGGGGGATTATTGGACAAGAACTCCCTTCCCTTTTCAAATAGCACCATGGGATCTTTTAACGTCCACCTGAACAGGCAGACGGGAACTTGGTTTAATGTCTCATCCTGAAGGATGGCACCTCTGCAATGCAGTAACCACCCCCCCACTGCATTGGAGTGTCATCTTAGGCTATGTGGATTCCAAGTCCCAACGTGGGGCTTGAACTCCCAACCTTCTGACTCAGAGGCGAGAGTGCTACTAACTGAGCCAAACTGACGTACATTTGATGTATTGGTAACTGTGCAGCCAAATCTGATAAAAGGACCTACGCTTCCCAGAGGAGATTAATCAATGTTACAGTCAAGATGGGAAGAGGGCACCTGTCCAGCCACAATGACTAGAAACCTTCAGTGGCGGCCAACACCAATATTATTCAGGGGATCGTATTTATTCTGGTTCTTTCAACATCGGGTTTTAATCCTCCAAGTGTTGAATTTTTTTGGCAGCTTGTAATATGTAAATATTTTCAAAGTCTTAAAAATCTCCTGGAGTGATAGAAATGGGAACGGTGACAAAACTGGAGATTATAAGAAGGTTGGAATTTTGGCTGAAAACATACGGCCAAGACCAATCCATTTGGCCAGTCCGTTGGAAATGTTCCACTAGTCTTGTAGATTGTGGGTGATCTTTTAATCCCATCTTTCCATTGTTTCTCTTTATCCCTTAAAAATGTCAGGGGCTGAGTCAAAAGGTTGCGGGTTCAAGCCCATATCCCGCTCGCCTGTCCAGTTGGATGTTAAACTACTGCACTACTCAAAAGGAGAAGGGAGTTTCTCTCTCCTGGTGTCCTGGCCAATAATCCTCAGATAAAATTGGTCATTCACTTCATGGCTGTTTGTGGGGCATTGCTGGGATTAAACTGGCTGCCACGTTCACTAACAAAACACACAGTTAATCGACTTTACAGTATATCCTGTGAAGCACTTTGGGATGTCCTCCTGACATGAAAGGCGCTAAACCAAATGTAAGGATTGTTATTCTCTTTTGGGGTGTCTGACGCATACATAAACCTATCACCATGCATAAGCGTATCCAAACCAAACTGAGAGTTCCATGCATCCCAACTACACATGGAAATAGTATTAATATTATTATATTGTTGAATAGCAAGCACGGAAAATACTTCCAGATAATACCTGAAATACACAAAAAAAATTCAATATCCTTCCTACACAAAAACACACACAGTGACTGCACTTTATCCTCTCTCTAAAGTGTTTTTGGATGCCTTCCCGGTGTGAAAGGCACTGTGCCAAATGTAAGGAATATTAATTATTATTATGACTGGACTGAACTGGTTTCTTATTTACCTTGAACGCCAGGATGACACCGATGAAGATAAGAACAATAAACACCAGGCATGTGGAGTTCATAGACATTATCTCTTCCTTGTAAGGGAAATTAGCCGGCTGCGGAAACAAAAGTACAGTGAAACTCTGATGACTCACCTCTGGGTTAAGTACAACAACAAGATTACATTTGTATAGCGCCTTTCACGTCGGGAGGACGTCCCAAGGCACTGGACACTGTACAGCATTTCAGACCCGAGCTGGGGTCGGGCGGGGAGAAGAGAGGGGAGGGGAAAGGGGGTGACCGATGACACGGTCGAAGAGGAAGGAGGGTTTTGAGGCGGGACTTGAAGGAGGCTAAGGAGGGGGTGAGGCAGAGTGATTGGGCGATGGAATTCCAGAGGTTGGGGGCAGAGTGGCTGAAGGCTCTCCTGCCAATGGTGAGGTGGGTGGGTCGGGGACATGGAGCAGGCCAGAGCCGGCTGAGCGGAGGGAATGGGTGGGTTGGTAGGGGGTTAGGAGGTCGCAGAGGTAGGGTGGGGCGAGGCCATGGAGAGCTTTGTAGGTGAGGACCAGGATCTTGAACTGGATCCTCTGAAGGATAGGGAGCCAATGGAGTCGGGCGAGAGTGGGGGAGATGGGGTCACGGAGTTTGGTGCGGGAGAGGACATGGGCTGCAGCGTTCTGGATAAGTAAGTCATCAACCACATATAACTGGTCACTCAATCAATATCCTGGCTATTTCCCATAAGAAATATACGTAGGGACCTCTGATAGCTAGTCACCCTGGATATCTCATAACTGGTCAGGTTTTAACTGTTAAGACAGTGTTTTTCATGTAAAATACCTCTAATAACTCGTCAATGGACAAAGCAAATCCGCAGTTGCAACACAGTATAAGGTGTCCAGGACTATACTTAATAATAATAATTATTATTCTTGCATTTGATATAGCGCCTTATCACGTCTCAATCTGCTTCACAGGATATAGTGTAAAGTGAAATGACTATTTTGTGAGTGAAATGCGGCAGCTAATTGTGCACAGCAGTGTCCCACAGCAGTCGTGGATTGAATGAGCACATTTTCTTTTGAGGGATTATTACCCTGAGAAAATAATTTAATCATCGACTAACAACCGTGTTCCTACTTACTGGAACTGACATGATAAGGCACTGTTATCAATGAAGCGCTCCAGGACCTTGCACCGTGTGAAAGGCGCTATATAAATGCAAGTTGTTGCTGTTGTACTGCTGGGTAAGCAGAAGAGTGTGGAGTAAGAAAACTTGCCTAAGGTTTTGCCCTGCCCAGGAATTGAATCCGAATCGTTTTGCTTACGAGGCAAGGGTGCTAACCAATACCCTAAGGGACTCCTATTTGAAAAGAGCAGGGAGTTTCTCCTAGAGTCCTGCAATTAAATTGATCATTGGCCTGCTGGCTATTTATGGGACACTGCAGTGCACAAATTGGCTGCCGCGTTTGTCTACAAATACAGTCATCACCGCTTGACATTAATTGCTGTGAAGGCTTTCAGGTTTTTTGTCGTGATAAGGCACTCTTATCAAATGCAAGTATTATTATTAACAAGGTCAGCCTGAGGCAATAAAAGTCTCCTCTCTGGAGCAGAAAGGGACCTTCGTTAGTAGTTAAGTACGTAATAATAAGCTATCCATTATACCTCATTATAATTGATGCAATATTAGCAGTCTTGCCCAGAATTAGCAAAACTAAAATGGAAATCTCACACTGTTGCAATCGGAGCTCTTCTGAGGTTGATTGTGTGTTTGCCCTCAAAACCCACAGTCACTCCACTTTACAGTATATCCTGCACATTAGTTTCCCCAAACCTTGGCTTTTGACAACCTGCGCCTAATACTTTCCGGAATTAGGTAAGCAGAATGCGTTCCTCCGGGGAGAGAGAGAGCGCATTCCATTCCAACCATCTATCTCTGGGATTTCCATGTGTAGGTGGGAGGCGTGGAATTCTCAGCTTGGTTTGGATAGTCTTAAGCACGGTGATAATAATAATAATAATAATCCTTGCATTTGATATAGCGCTTTTCACGTCGGGAGGACGTCCCAAAGCGCTTCACAGAACACACTGTAAAGTGAATTGACTGTATATTTGTGGGCAAACGCGGCAGCCAATTGCGCACAGCAATGTCCCACAAACAGTTGTAGATTGAAAATGACCAACTTTTTTATTATTGTTTTTTGTTTTGGAGGGATTATTATTAGGCTCTGTGTGGAGTAAGGAAACTTGCCCAAGGTTTCGCCCTCTGCCTGGAATTGAACTCGGGTCTCTCACTTGCAAAGCGAGTGCTCTAACCACTGAGCTACAGGACTCCACGATGATGGGTTTCCGCATGTGTTAGACACCCGGCTGAGCAAAACAAAGTATATCCTGTGAAGTGCTTCAGAAGCCTTCCTGATGTGAAAGGCACTGTACTAATATAAGGATTATTATTATTATTATTGATAATAATTAATTAATAATAATAAAACAGAGAGGAGGGAACAAGCGTGAGGACCTGGGTTCGATTCCCAGGCTGGGCAACACGTTGGACAAGTTTCCTTGCTCCACACGCCTGTTTACCAAGCAGTAAGTAGGAACCCGGTTGTTAGCCAATTGGCAGATCGCTTTTCCGGGGTTTATAAACCGTTTTTTAAAAAAAGCAATAATAAATTGGTCACTCAATCCATGACTGTTTGTGGGACACTGCTGTGTGCAATTGGCTGCCGCGTTTCACCCACAAAATATACAATTCACTTTACAGTGTATTCTGGGAAGTGTTTTGAGACGTCTCGAAGACGTGATAAGGCGCCATATCAAATGGAGGATTATTATTATTACCTGTCTACTTCCCTTTCGAAACCCACAATGGACTCTGCCTCTTAACTCCTTACTAGGCAGAGAATATCAGATGATATAATATCCACATATTAGACAGTAAAATGAAAATCGTGTACCATCTGTTGCAGGTAGTCTTGAATGGAATTTGGATAGACAACCACACTGATTGCTACCAGGGTGTTCAGGGCAAAGTCAAACAGCTGGTAACAGAAAAACGGGATGATCCAAGCGCTGCGTTGCTGCAAAACAAATGGGAAAACGACAATGTGAATGCTGAGAACGACACACCTTAATAACATTCTCTCCTAAAGACAAGAGGGGAAACTTTTCTACCTGGATCTACATTTACTTTATTTATGCAGGGTTTCACAGAGTCCAGGATTTTACGAATTGTTGAACCATAGAAATTCACGGCGCAGAAGAAGGCCATTCGGCCAATCACCCATCCGTGTCTGTGTTGGCTCCCTCATTATTTTTGGTCATTCACTCCACGGCTGTTTGTGAGACATTGCCGTGCGCGACTGGCTGCGGCGTTTTGCCCACAAAAATACAGTCAATCCACTTTATAGTCACAATGATAATGCTTACATGATCGAGACGTCTTCACAGAATATACTGTATAGTGAATTGACTGACATATTTTGGGCCAAACGTGGCAGCCAATGGCGCGCAACAGTGTCCCACAAACAGGAGGGGATTGAGTGACCACATTCTTATTTGAAAAGGGATTATTAATTTGTAACTCCACACTGTACCTTGTAAGCTCCGTACGTTGCCATCCCGCAGATCATTATCATTAAGAGGGAAATCGCCGTGGCGATACATATGTCTGCAAGAGAAAATGCGAGTTAATGCACAGCGATAATCCCTCCGACTCCCTCACCTTGTACGAAGCCCGTCTCAAGACCTACCTCATTGACCGCACTTTCCATCATCTTTCCCCGATCCCAGCCCACCTGGGTTCCACTTGGGTGCCAAGCCAGTACTGTTAAGCGCTTTGAAACATCCTCCTGACGTGATAGGTGCTGTATAAATGTAAATTTTAACTTTGTACATGCAGAGGAAAGGATGTTCGTGCTCCCCATCACTGGTTCAAATCCTACCTCCTTCAACACACCTTCAAGCGAAGGGCACTGTGTAAATATAAGTTGTTGTTGTAGCTAGTCCTGGGTAATTGACGTGAGGCTGATATTTCAAATCCTATTACTCAGCACACAGCTCATACAACATTTGGTTATTTAATCTAAAGTCCTCAAAACAATGCCATCCCCGGCAGTAAAAGACTAACGGGGCTTTGTATATAATAATAATAATCCTTTGCATTTGATATAGCGCCTTTTGACGTCTCAAATTGCTTCACAGGATGTATTATAAAGTGGATTGATTGTATATTTTGTGGGCCAAATGCGGCAGCCAATTGCGCATAGTACTTTCTCACAAATAGCCATGGATTGAGTAACCAAATTGTTTTTTGAGGGATTATTAACCCCAGAAAGCTATCCACCAATCGACTAACAACGGGGTTCCTAGAGACTGCTCGGTAAACAGAGGTGTGTGGAGTAAGGAAACTTGCCTAATGTTTCAGCCTACCCGGGAATCGAACCCGGGTCCTCTCGCTTGTGAGGTGTGCACTCTAACCACTTCGCTACAGGGCTCAAATTGACGTGAGGCTGATATTTCAAATCCTATTACACAGCAAACAGCTCATACAGCAATTGCTTATTTAATCCAAAGTTCTCGAAACTATGTCATCCCTAGCAGTAAAACACAAATAGGGTTTCATATATCCTGAGGACTGCCCTTCAATCTTGACCTGTAGTCATCTTATAATAATAATAATCCTTACATTTGACATCTCAAAGCGTTTCACAGTATGTACTGTAAAGTGGGCCAACTCGGTGTGTTTTGTGGACGATACGGTAGATATACTGGGTTTGGGAAGCTCCAATTGACTGACATTCAACGCTCGACAGAGGGTTGAAAGGGTTAAACAATGAATGACATTCCTTTGAAGGAAGACGCTCCACCCCTGTTCCTCGCGTGTCTAAGCAGTAAATTGAGGGGCAAGTGCAGAGGGATTTCAGCAGAGAGGATATTATCCTTAATCCTCCCCAGCATTTCCTTTCGGACACAAACAGCAATATTGTGGGGCTGATTTCCTATTAGTTATACAAGCGATGCTATTTCTGAGCCGGGCAGAGTATAGTAAGCAACTGGTGACGTCCACGGATCAAAACTGTGGGCGATCAGGTGACCTCGAAGCTGCTTAATCTCCAAGAATTAGGACAATGAGGTGGATTTTAGTGTTAGCGACGAGTGAAGGAGTCAGCCTCTGCCACAGGCCAGTTATTCCGGCTCCATAATAAGTTCAGAATTAGCCATTACCCTGCAGTTTAGTGGTAACAATAATTAGCTCTGTTGTTTTATTTATTATATTAATAATATTGTTATTAATTATGATTACCACATTGTTCAGGAATCTCAAAGGGCTTCACAGGACGCCCTGTAAAGTGGAGCAACTGTGTATTTTGTGGGCAAAACCAGATTTGGGAAGCTCCAATTAACTGACATTCAACGCTCAAAAAGAAAAAATATTATTAATAATAATCCTTGCATTTGGCGCAGCACCTTTCATATCAGGAAGATGTCTCAAAGAGCTTCAAAGGATACAACAACAACTTGCATTTATCGAACCCGGGTCCTCTCAGTCACAAGAGAAATACTCTAACCATACTCTAGAGGACTCCTCTTTATAATATTGGTGCCACTTTATAATATTTTACATCAATCATAAAAAGTCTTCCTCGCATTGTCAAATGTCATTTGTTCGATGAGATAATTAACGTTGAGGTGACGGGAAGCGGTCAGACTTACTGGCATCATCAATAAAGTCAAGGTCGCTGCCCAGATCAACACTCGGCAGCTGGTATCGATCAGGGTCACTGAGAGCAGACAGTAAAATCAGAAGGACCACACCATCTATTAGCTAATAGGAGAGAGAGAAAGGAGGTCAGTACAACAACCTCATGACCCTTAGAACAACCACATTTTACAACAAACACTGTTCAACCAATGTATTTTTGTCTTTAATATAATTGATATAGCGCATTATCACGTCGTTGAGACGTCTCAAAGCGCTTCACAGGATATACTGCAAAGTGAATTGATTGTGTATTTTGTGGGCCAAACACGGCAGCCAGTTCTGTACAGCAGACCACCACGGAATCAATGATCAATTTTATTTGGGGGTTTGTTGGTCAGGACACCGGGAGAGAGAAACTCGTTTCTCTTTTCGAACAGTACCATGCGATCTTTGACATCCACCTCAACAAGCAGGTGGGACCTCGGTTTAACATCTCATCTGAAAGACGGCACCTCTGACAATACAACATCCCCCCCCCACCCCCAGCACTTCATTGGAGACAATGTGAGTCCAAGTCCAGATGTGGGGTTTGAACCGACAACCTTTTAAGTCAGAAGGTTGTTCATAAATCAACCTTAGGCAATTTGCCTTACCCCAAACGCCTCTGTTTACCTAGGAGTAAGTAGGAACCCAGTTGTTAGTCGATCTGCAGATCGCTTTCCAGGGGTAATGATCCCTCAAAAAAAATTTGGTCACTCAATCCAGCTTTGTGGGACACTGCTGTGCGAAATTGGCTGCGACATTTGGGCCACAAAGTACACAGTCCCTCCGCTTTACAATATATTCTGCACTTTGAGATGTCCCAACGACGTGATAATGCACTCTATCAAGTGCATGGATTATAATTCTATTACTGTTTCGGAAGACCAACAACTTGATACTGCATTGTACTAAAGGCAAAGGTTATCATTTTCTGTTGTGTCCTTTTAATGTCAATGCACAGTGTGTACCAGCCATATGAATCCACACTTGCTGAGGACAGCAGAGAACATCAGGCAATGCATTTAATATTTCACATCCCACTCAGAGATATGACCCCGGCTTTCACAAGCTGCTTTGGCATTAACCAGCAGCACAATCCAGATCGTCATCTTCTGTGATCATGATTACAGCGCCTTTATCTTGCCCTGGTAAGCCCTCAGCAATGATAACTGCACTACATTATTATTATTATTATAATAATGTTATTGAGGCGTTTCAAAGCGCTTCACAAAATATACTGTAAAGTAAATTGACTGTGCATTTTGTGGGTGAAACTCAAACTGCCAATTGCGCACAGCAGTGTCCCTCACACAGTCGTGGATTGAGTGACCACATTTTTTTTTTTCAAGCGATTAACCCTGGAAAAGCCATCCATCAATCGACTAACAACCGGGTTCCTACTTACTGCTAGTTAAACAGAGGCGTGTGGGGTAAAATAATAATAATAATCCTTGCATTTAATAGAGCGCTTTTCACGTCTTCTAGACGTCGCAAAGCACTTCACAGAATATGCTGTAAAGCGAATTGACCGTATATTTGTGGGTGAAACGCAGCAGCCAATTGTGCACAGCAGCGTCCCACAAACAGTCGTGGATTGAAAATGACCGATTTATTATTGTTTTGTTTTCTGGAGAGATTATTATCAGGCGTGTGGAGTAAGGAAACTTGCCCAAGGTTTCGCCCTGCCTGGAACTGAACCCAGGTGTCTCGCCTGTGAGGCAAGTGCTCTAACCACTGAGCTATAGGACTCCACACCACTACACTATAGGACTACAGGAGAGGAGAGTTTCTCCAAGTGTCCTGGCCAACAATCCCCAAATGATCACTCGCTGCATGGCTGTTTGTTGGAAGCAAATTGGCTGCGTATTTGCCTACAAACGCACAGTCACTATACTTTAGAGAAACTTTGTGAAGCTCTTTGAGACATTTGCGATATTATAGGTGCTGTATCAAATGCAAAAAATATTATTAACTTCATATCTCTGCCCTGATATCCTCATACATAATAATGCTTGCTTATGGTGTAGTGTCTTATCATGTTGTCGAGAAATCTCAAAGCGCTTAACAGGATTTTACTATGAAGTGATGCGACTGTACACAGCAGCAACAACTTGCGCATATTTAGCGCCCTTCACATAGGGTAGCATCTCAGAGCGCTTAACAGTGGTGTAACCTGACTCTGAGCCGGGGTGGGGGAAGGGGTGGTGGGGGGTGGGGGGAGATGGCCTTAAGCACGGTCGAAGAGGAAGGTTTTCAGGCTGGACTTCAAAAAGTGGGCAAGGCAGAGGGATTGAGGGAGTGTTCCAGAGTTTCGGGGCATAGTGGCTGAAAGCCCTACTTCCAATAGTGGGGCAGAGGGTGCGAGGGTCGATTAGGAGGTCGGTGCCGGTCAAGCAGAGGCACTGGGTGGTGGATTGGGGAGTGAGGAGGTCGGACAGGTGGGGAGGTGGCAGGGAGTGAAGGGATTTGAACACGAGAGTGAGGATCTTGAAGTCAATCCGTTCGGTGATGGGGAGTCAGTGGAGCCTGGGCCAGGACTGGTGAGATGCGGGTACGGAGTTTGGTCCGGGTCAATATGCGGGCAGCAGAGTTGAGCTGGATCTTGTTGATGGTGGAGCTGCGGAGACCGGCGAGGAGTTTATTTGAGCACAGCAATGTTGCACAAACAGCTACAAAGCCAATGACCAATTATATATTCCATTAAAGCTCTCACAAATGAATTGCTCTTCGACTGAAAAATATCATCGTGACACTTTTTAAATACATAACCCTAACCTCCTCCCTCACCCCCTGCTCTGTGTCCATACCTGAATGTTCAGGTGGACGTAAAGGATCCCATGGCACTGTTCAAAAAGAGAAAGGAGTGTCTCTCAACCGGTGCCTGGCCAACAATCTCCCAAATAAAACCGGCCATTTTTGAGGACGTCTCAAAGTGCTTCACAGGATATACTGTGAGGTTTAATGGCAGTGTATTTATTAGGTGAAAGGAGCTAATTTGCGCGCACTATCCCGACAAATAGCCATGGAGTGAACGATCAATTTTATCCAGGGGTTTGTCGGCCAGGACACCGAGGGAGAGAAACTCCCTTCTCTCATCTGTGAAGGGAGACAGGGTGTTGTTGTAATGTCTCATCCAAAGGACGGCACCTCCAGTGATACAGAACACCCAGCACTGCATGGGAAGATCAATCGAGATGATATGTGTTCAATTTCCCATTGTGGGCCTTAAATCCATTACCCTTTGACTCAGAGGCAAATATGCTACCAACTGAGCAAGCTGACCTATAGTTCAATTAGGCACACAGAATACATTACAAACTCAATGAACACTGCTTCCAGGCCCAGCAGTCACTGCACACTAATATCTGTTTGGCCCATTTGCACTAGTCAGATTGAGTCACTGAAATCGATGATTAATTATCAGAATCAATGAAATGTAAAGTTGGTTTCACAGTTTTTTCTTTTATGTTTAACCTTGTTTTTGCACCATGAGATAAATAACATTTCCAAACAATCAAAGGAGAATATAATAATAATAATAATCCTTGCATTTTGATATAGCGCTTTTCACGTCGGGAGGACGTCCCAAAGCACTTCACAGAACACACTGTAAAGTGAATTGACTGTATATTTGTGGGCGAACGCGGCAGCCAATTGCGCACAGCAATGTCCCACAAACAGTCGTAGATTGAAAATGACCAATTTATTATTGTTTTGGGTTTTGGAGGGATTATTATTAGGCTCTGTGTGGAGTAAGGAAACTTGCCCAAGGTTTCGCCCTCTGCCTGGAATTGAACTCAGGTCTCTCGCTTGCAAAGCGAGTGCTCTAACCACTGAGCTACAGGACAGCTACAGAATACTCCTCGCATTTGATCTAGCGGATTATCACATCGATGAGATGTCTCAAATCACTTTACTTTGAGGATTTTACTGCAAAATGTGGTGACTATGTATTTGTAGGCGAAAGCAATAACCGATTTGCACACAGCAATGTCCCACAAAACAAGCAGTGGAGCCCTGTAGTGCAGTGGTTAAGGCGCTCGCCTCGCAAACAAATGTGAAACCTTAAGCAAGTTTCCTTACTCCTCACGCTTCTGTTTACCTAGCAACAAGTAGGAACCCTCATTCTCACCTACAAGGCCATTCACGGCCTCGCTCCCTCCTACCTCTCTGACCTACTATCCCCCTACTTACCTGCCCGTACCCTCCATTCCTCTGGCTCCGGTCTGCTCCGCATCCCCCGCCCCAATCGCCCTACCATCGGTGGCCGGGCCTTCAGACACTCAGCCCCGAGGCTCTGGAACTCCATCCCCCAGTGCCTTCGCCTTGCTTCCTCCCTTTCCTCCTTCAAGGCCGGTCTCAAAACCTTTCTCTTTGACCGTGCCTTCAGCTCCCCTCTCGACTCTCTACCCCCTCCTCGCTCCCTCCCTTCCCTCCCCTCACGCTGACCATTTCCCCCCAATGCTCGGGTCCTGACCCAACTGTACAGCACCTTGGGACGTCCTCCCGACGTGAAAGGCGCTCTATAAATGGAATCTTGTTGTTGTTGTTGTTAGTCGATTGGCGGATCACTTTCTCGGGGCAACAATCTTTTTAAAAAATAATTTGGTCCTTCAATCCACGACAGTTTGTGGGACACTGCTGTACGTAATTGGTTGCTGTGTTTCGCCCACAAAATATAGAGTCAATTCACTTTACAATATATCTCATGAAGCACTTGAGACATCTGGAAGACGCGATAAGGCTCTGTATCAAATGCAATGATTATTATAAGCATCAGGTGACGGACCAATTTTATTTGGGGCATTGTAGGCCAGAACACTGGGAGAGAGAAATTCTCTTCTTTATTCAAACAGTGCCTTCGGATCTTTAATGTCACCTGAACAGATGGACTCAGTTTAACATCTCACCCAAAGATGTCCACATTTAACTCCTTTGACAGCGCCTTTGGGAATAACCCGGTGAAGTGTAGGGATTCTGTAAAGATTCCTCTCCCACCCCCATCCCCACCTAGGCTTGGATCCCTGTCTCGCTAAAGCGCTTTGAGATGCCCTCTCCTTGAAAGGAGCTATACAAATGTAATAATAATAATCCTTGCATTTGATATAGCGCCATATCACGTCGTTGAGACGTCTCTTCACAGAATATACTGTAAAGTGAATTGACTGTGTATGTTTTCGCCCACGCAATATAAATTGTATCTATGTAATCATTTTATTTATATCACTTAATTTTACATTTAGAATGTAATCTTCAATTGTTGATCAAGCAAGCAGAGTAGAATAGTACTCAGCTCACGTCAACAAATCTGCTTGAATGAGCAAAACAGACCAGAATAGCCCCACAGCTCTTGTCTGACTCACAATATTAATGGCTTCCAGATTGTGTGAGTATTTGTGCATGTGAGTGCTCATTGTGGGTTAGACAGCGCTGGCGGAATCCGCTATGGAGAATCGATTGCTCTACTTTGCCCCCAGCAACTGCACAACTGCATCAAATAAACTCCTGGTAACTCGACCCTGGCTTAACTTGTCATTGTGACTAACTCATCGCGCTGTCAATATCTCGGCCACATTTAGTAATATATTTATACATATGCCTAACTCGCCACTCCTGATAACTCATCACTGAGCCCTTTTCCCTTGGAGTGACAAGTTATCAGAAGTTTACTATACTTTATATTCCGGGTTACGTACTTTATATTCTGAATTACGTATCCAGCATTGATCCTGCCTTCTACCCAGTGAGTGCTCAAATCTCCGCTCATCGGATGTCAATGATCAACTACTGACTATCTTCCTGGAGAGAGTGCAGATTCCATTTCCATTCCAACAATCTATCTCTGGATTGTGCATTAACAATTCTGTGTTTGCCCACAAAACCAATTTACACATACATCCTGTACTCTGGTTTCCCCAAGCCTTGGATCTTGCCAACCTGCGCCTAATACTTTCCGGAATTAGATAAGCAGGATGTGTCCCTCCAGGGAGAGAGAGCGCATTCCATTCCAACCATCTATCTCTGGGATTTTCGTGTGTGGGTGGGAGGCGTGGAATCCTCAGTTTGGTTTGGATGCTCTTAAGCACAGTGATGGGTTTCCGTGTGTGTCAGACACCCGGCTGACCAACCCTCCCCACAAAAAGGGAACGTACTATTGAAAACTGCAGATAACTTGAGATTCGGTCTCCTGTTTCCCCTCTCATGTGACTCCGTGCATTGTGAAACATTGAGCAGTTGATATGAATAACAGGTAGAACATTGAGCAGTCGTCTGGAATAACAGGTAGAATAACAGCCATGTCTGTGCTGAACTGCTGGACAGATCCCTTTCTCATCCATCACAGGGTCAACCTGAATGCAACAACGCAGGTTGCTGTAACCGATACTAAGTGATGGATAATAGATCAAATTCCTAACAGATCAAGTTTGTAGGTGCTTAAATTCCTAGCTTGCACGACATCTTTTCTAACAGCTGTCAATCATTTCATCTATCTACCTTCTGCTCCTTAAATTAACACTACCACGTAGCATAGCGGTTAGCCTGCTCGCCTGGCAAGCGAGAGGACCCGGGTTCAATTCCCGGACAGGGTGAAACCTTAGACGCGGTTTCTTACTCCACACGCCTCTGTTTATCTAGCAGTACGTAGGAACCCGTTGTCAGTTGATTGGCAACTAAAATAATAATAATTAGTTGGTCACTCAATCCACGACTGATTGTGGGACACTGCTGTGCGCAATTGGCTGCCGCGTTTCGCCTACAAAATATACAGTCAATTCACTTTACAGTATATTCTGTAAAGCCTTTGAGACGGCTCACCGAAATGAACACTACCCTATATCAAATGCAAGGATTATTATTATTATGAATGTTATCATTATTACAAAAAACTGATTCATATGCTGTTCCACTGTTGGGGTGTATTTTTTATACACACAGCTATAAGAAATATCTAAATTGTTATTTCATATTTTACGTACTTGAAATACACTAAATAACTACTGAAAGTTGCAATATACCGTTATATTTTGGAGACAGATTTTTTTTTAAATCGCTGGAACTTAGTTGTTTAGAAGCAAGCATTCAAACATTAATAATAATTAATTATAAAATGTCCCAAAGTGCTTCGCAGGATTTTACTGTAAAGTATAATGACTGTGTATTTTAGGCGATTGACCTCATGACTTTAAATCAGTACTGTAGTTAAACAATTAACAACATGATGGACAAGAATTTGCTGTTTCAGCTTCATGGACTGCAGTAGTCACTTGACCGCCAAACCAAAATGATTTTGTTTTGTCTTTTTATAGGTTTAGTTCTGCTGCGGTCACACTGCAAACGGCATCCTTTCTGATATAATACATTGTAAGCTGCAAACCAAGGGATTGTCTGACACAGTAACTCGTGTGTGTTAGAACTAAATGATAAATAATAATCTGTGCATCTGATATAGTGCCCTATGATGTCACTGAGACGTCTTAAAGCGCTTCACAGGATATACTATAAAGTGAATTGACTGTGTGTTTTGTGGGGGAAATGTGACAGCCAATTGTACACAGCAGTAACAGTCATGGATTAAGTGACCAAATTTTAATTATTTATTTATATATATATAGTTTGGGGGAAGGCATTGTTACCACTGGAAAGTGATTTTTTATATATATTATTATTATATTCCCTTGGGGAACCGGGCACACATTCATTTACTTGCAGTTTAGCTTTGGCTCAGTGGTTGCGCTCTCGCTTCTGAGTCAGAAAGTTGTAGGTTCAAGCCCTACACGGGATCTTAGAAGCACATCGTCTAAGCTGACCCTCCAATGCAGTGCTGGGGTGTGTTGCATTATTGGGAGGTGGCGTCCTTTGGATGAGACATTAAACCGAGGACCAGTCTGCCTGTCCAGGTGGATATTAAACATCCCATGGCACTATTTGAAAAGAGAAGGGAGTTTCTCTCTCTCAGTGTCCTGGCCAACAATCCCCTAAATAAAATTAGTCTCTCACTCCATGGCTGTTTGTAGGATATTGCTGTGCGCAAATTGTCTGCCGCATTTTGCCTGCAAAATACAGTGAATCCACTTTACAGTATTATTCTGTGAAACGCTTTGAGAATTGGCGATGTGATATATCAAATGCAAGGATTATTATTATAAATCCTGTGAAGTGCTTCGAGGCATCTGCCTGACATGAGAGGTGCTATATCAAACGTAAGGATTATTGTTATTATTTATGAGTCAGTGCAATGTAAAGATGCAATATCCAGTTTTGCAACCTTGATTCTCAGACCAATGGTAGCAGGCCTCGGGTTATAATAATAATCCTTGCATTTGGTTTAGGGCCTTATATCATCGTCGAGACGTCTCAAACCAGTCACTGTATATTTTGTGGGTGAAACATGGCAGTCAGTTTGCACACAGCAATGTTCCACAAACAGCCATGGAGTGACTGATTGATATTTGGGGGATTGTTAGCTAGGATACCGGGAGAGAGAGAGAAACTCTTCTCTCTTTTCGAATAGCAGTGCCATGGGATCCTTTAAACATCCACCTGAACAGGTAGATGGGATCTCAGTTTAATGTCTCATCCGTTCTTGGAATCTGCTGTTGGAACACACAACTACCTGCTCACAGGTAACGCACATACGTAATAGGCTTTAATTTGTCTTAATAGGACTTGTGCGATTCTAATTATAACCGTGAATTAAGGTTACAAGCTCCATAAATACACTCTTCAGAGGACAAACCGAAGCCAACGCGCTACATTTATCCTCCACTCAATCACAATAATCCTCGTGTTTGATGTAGCGAACAATTACACCATCAAGACGTCTCAAAGCGCTGCGCAGGATTTTACTGTGAAGCATATTGACTGCGTGTTTTGTAGGCAAACACAGCAGCCAATTTGCACACCTCAGCAACGTCCCACAAACGGTCATTAAGTGAGTGAACAATTTTAACTCAATGTGACCAGGGTCAGGACATCCGAACGCTTTGCCACAATTTGTTTTTGTAAAAATAATATTAATAATCCTTGCGTTTGATATAACGTCTTATCACATCGTTGAGGCTTCTCAAAGCGCTTCACAGGATATACTGTAAAGTGGAGCGACTGTGTGTTTTGTGGGGGAAACGCGGCAGCCAATTGCACACAGCAGTGTCTTACAAACAGTTATTTGAGTGACCAAATTTTTTTTTACATTTATTTTTGTTTTGAAGGGATTATTACCCCCTGAAAAGCGATCCGTCAATCGACTAACAACCAGGTCCTACTTTCTGCTAGGTAAACAGAGCGTGTGGAGTAAGGAAACTTGCCTAAGGTTTCGCACTGCCCGGGAATGGATCCTCTCGTTTGCGAGCCGAGTGCTCCAACCAATAAGCTACAGGATTCCACAATTATATATATATATGATGATGATAGTAATAATCCTTACAATAAACATAAACCAGCAAAGTGGGGATGGGGAAGGGAGATGGTGGGGTGGGGGAGGGGAGAGAATTACTGAACCTTTACTGGGTGTTTATTTTGCTGCAATTGAAAACAAATAAATAATAATAATTGCAAGAAACATAAAACTACAAAAGTGGGGAGGAGAGGAGGGAGGGGAGAGAAGGGAGGGATAGAGAATTACGGGACCATTTCTGGGTGTTTATTGTGCTGCAATTGAAAATAAACAATAAAAATAATAATAATTGCAATAAACATAACACTAAAAAAAGTGGGGAAGAGAGGAGAGGAGAGGAGGGAGGGGAGAGGAGGGGGATAGAGAATTACTGGACCATGTCTGGGTGTTTTAAGAGAGGGATCGAGGGAAAAGCTGGGAAAAAGGGATTGCATTTTGCTGGCAGTTTGTGAAGCCTCGGTCGCTCACTCCGTCACACATTCACTCACCATGTACCAAACCCCCAGGATGATGGTCCCTGTGCGGACGTGACAGCAGAAGCAGCAGCTGTTGGAATGCCAGTGGTCAAAAGGCGACACCATCCTCATCTTCCTTGTTGGCTCGATCTTTGCTACAACACAAATGGAGAGCAAGCAGCAACAACGAGAGAGAGAGAGAGAGAGAGAGAGAGAAAACCCACGTCCCTCTCTGCAATATAACTAGTCAGTGAATGCGGCGGTGCTAACTAACACAGATGCATCCCTTTTGGTGTGTGTGTGTGTCCTGCCTGGCGCTGTTGCACCACTCTATCTGTCAGTGCTAATCACAGTCCGCCGTTCTCTCTCTCTCTCTCTCTCTCACCTTTCAATCCACACATCTCCCTCCCTCCCCGCCTTATGTCCACTCGTGGCTCACAACCACACAGTCAGATCACATGCAATCATTAACCCCAACACCACCACCACCACCACCATTCATGTGTCAGCCTGGCTCGGTTGGTAGCGCTTTCCCCTCTAGAGGTTGTGGGCTCATGCCCCCTGTCAAGTCGGGACTTGGAATCACATCGTCTAAGCTACCGTCCAATGCAGCACTGGGGGGGGTTGGGGGGGGTGTGAGCTGTTGCTTTGCCGGAGGTGCCGTTAAAGCGAGTCTGCCTGTTCGGGTGGACGTTAAGGATCCATTGGCGCTATTCGAAAAGAGAAGGGAGTTTCTATCCCGGTTTCCTGAGCGACAATCACCCAAATAAGACTGGTCACTTGCTTCATGGCTGTTTGTCTGACATGGTTGTGCGCAAATTAGCTGCCACGATTCGCCCACAAAATACACAGGTAATCCACTTTACAGCTGGTCCCGTGAAGCGCTTTGTGACGTCCTCCTGCCGCGACAGGCGATGTTCCAAATGTAAGGATTCTCATAATTAATAATAATTATTATCATAATAATATTAACCACGTTTGCATTGGAGCACAGTTAGGTTTCCTTACGTGTTTTAGGAACAAAACACAAAGAAAGCAGGGAGTTTTGTAGCTCAGTGGTTAGAGCACTCGCCTCGAAAGCATTAGGACCTGGGTTCAATTCCCGGGCAGGGCGAAACGTTAGGCAAGTTTCCTTACTCCACACACCTCTGTTTACCTAGCAGTAAGTAGGAAGCCGGTTGTTAGTTGATTGGCAGATCGCTTTTCCTTCATAACAATTTTTAAAAAAAATAATAACTAGTTGATTCAATCCATGACCGTTTGTGGGACACTGCTGTCCACAATTGGCTGCCACGTTTCGCCCATAAAATATACAGCCAATTCACTTTACAGTATATTCTGTGAAGCGCTTTGAGACGTCTCGAAGATGTGATGAGGCGCAATATCAAATACAAGGATTAGTATTATTATTATTAAAACAAACCAGTGGGACAAACCAGTGGAGTCCTGTAGCTCAGTGGTTAGAGCACTCGCCTCGCAAACGAAAGCCTGGGTTCAATTCCCAGCAGGGCAAAACCTTGGGCAAGTTTCCTTACTCCACATACCAGATAATAAATCTCTCAAGAAAACAAAAACATCAATAAGAAATTGGTCACTCAATCCACGACTGTTTGTGGGACACTGCTGTGCGCAATTGGCTGCCACGTTTCGCCCATAAAATACACAGTCAATTCACTTTACAGCATATTCTGTGAAGAGCTTTGTGACTTCTAGAAAACGTGAAAAGCGCGATATCAAATGCAAGGATTATTAGTGTAAATTAATCTGTTGTTTCTTTATTTGCATTTAATACAGCAGAGCTTTACAATCATTTAATTAGAACAAACATCCCCTTGGGTTCAGGGGAAACTTCATTAGATGGTGGAGCGTGACAAGGCTCGATAACAGGAGGCATTAATCAAAGAATTACCGTGCATTAGATAAAATGTTTGACTCAGACTTTCAACTTCCCCCTTTTTTAATGTTCTGGATGAATTACATCTAAATATTTATTTAAGTGAAGGTGGTCGTATCAACATTAAATGCATCTTTATTCTCAACTCACTTCACGGCTGTTTGCAAGGATGTGTGAGAAACAGGCGTCGCCTACACAGTCACTCCACTTTAAATCGTGTCAGCCTGGCTCAGTGGGAGCACTCTTGTGTCTGAGTCAGAAGGTTGTGGGTTCAAGCCCTGCATCAGGACTCCGAATCACATAGTCTAAGGTAGGGTGGTCCAACTGGGGCCTCACAGGCCAAATTCATCCATCCCCCTCCACCCCACCCCACACACACATGTCACCTGGCCCACCCGCTCTCTCCATAACCTGTAAATGTTATGTTACTTTTATAATAATAATAATAATCCTGGCATTTGATATGGTGCCTTATCATGTCTTTGAGACGTCTCAAAGCGTTTCACAGAACATATTGTAAAGTGAATGGACTGTATATGTTGTGGCCGAAAATCCAGTCATGGATCAAAGTGACCAATTTATTATTATTATTTTTGTTGTTTAAGGAATTATCAACCCCAGAAAAGCGATCCGCCAATCGACTAATACCCGGGTTCCGACTTACTGCTAAGGAAACAGAGACGTGTGGAGTAAGGAAACTTGCCCAACATTTCGTCCTGCCCGGGAAGTGAACTCAGGTCTCTCGCTTGCTACAATGGAAAGGAAACACAAAAATATTGCTTATGCAGCCCTATCTCGAATAGGGCATCGGGCCATCAGCAGCCAAAAGATTAGACCCTGATCTAAGATGACTTCCAGCACAGTACTGGGGGACGTTGCAAGGTTGAACGTACAATCCTTCCTGTGAGAGTCAAAGATCTGTGTGTGTGTATTGGTGGGAAGAGGCAATAAGGACTTTTTACATTCCGTACACACAATAAAAATTCCTTTAATAAATCAATAATAATAATAATAATCCTTGCACTTGATATAGTACCTTATCATGTTGTCAAGACGTCTCAAAGCACTTCACAGGATATAATGGAAAGTGGATCGACTGTGCATTTTGTGGGTGAAACGTGGCAGCCAGTTTGCGCACAGTGGTATCCCACAAACAGTCATCGGAAAAAAAATATTTGGGGGATTATTGGCCAGGACACTGGGAGAGAGAAATAGTCTCATGGGATCTTTAATGTCCACCTGAACCTGACCTCGGTTTTAACATCTTATTCGAAGGGTGGGTGATATGAAGTATTATTCTTCTTATGCGTGCCTCTGCTTATGACTTGATGGAGTTCCAACATTATAAAATAATCCTTAGTCAGAAGGATGTTTCGTTATGTCGAGAAAGAAATAAGTCAGCGATTTGTCCAAACTGATGATAAAGTGAATTTGCTCTGCAGGTTGGGAACTGTTTCCTTGGGGGAGTTTGCTCAATATTTGCAATTGATTAATCTTAGCTGTTCATTTTGCTAATTGATCGGGAAGGGTTCTTACCTTTCCAATACAGCCCTCAGCGAGTTTTTGTCAGGAGCAGAGCATACTGAGCACTCTCAGATGCTGCCCTGCGTGGAGGGCGCTATATAAGTGTGAGTTGTTGCTGTTGTTGAGAACAGTGCAACAACAACAACAACAAATTACATTTGTACTGCGTCTTTCAAGACTGTCCCAAAGTGCTGGACAGTCAGGGATTTGGTCCCGAGCTGGAGGTTAGGATCAGGAGGGGCACAGGGCAGGGAGGATTGGAACTGGACGGTGACCTTGAGATGGGCCTTGAAGGAGGAAAGGGAGGGGGCAAGGTGAAGGGACTGTGGGATGGAGTTCCAAAAGGTGGGGGCAGAGAGGCTGAAGGTTGACCACTGATGGTGGGGCGGGCAAGGCGGGGGCATGGAGCAGGCCCTCCAACAATATAGCAACAACAACTTGCGTTTATAAAGCACCCTTCATGCGTGGTAGTGTCCCGGAGCGCTTCACAGTGGCGGAGTTTGACAATGAGTCAGGGGGAGCGAAAGCCAGGAGTTGACCGTAAGGACGATCAAAAAGGAAGGTCTTTAGGCATGATTTGAAGGTGGGGAGAGAGGAGGGGGCAAAGCGGAGGAACTGAAGGAAAAGGTTCCAGGGTGTAGTGGCTGAAGGCACAGCCACCGATGGTGGAGCGGAGGGGACAAGGGACAAGTAGGAGGCCGGTGCCAGCTGGTGGTGAAGTGGGGGGTAAGTAAGGTCGGATAGGTAGGGAGGTGCGAGGGCATGAAGGGATTTGAAAACAAGTGAGAGTATCTTGAAATCGATCAGTTCGGTGATTGGGAGCCAGTGGAGCCTGGCAAGGACCAGTGTGATGGGGGTACGGAGTTTTGTGCGGATGCAGAAGACCCACAGGACTTATTGAAGTGGTCAGCTTAGACTATATGAGTTCCAAGTTCCGACTTGGGGCTCGAACCCACAACCTTCTGAACTCATAGCTTGTGAAATTGTGTCTTTTCTAAGTGTGCCAGGACTGTGATATTTTTACCAACACTGAGTTAACATGCACAGGTCCATTTCATAACCTCATGTGAACGCCATGATGAAGTCACAGCTTTGTCATTTGCTGTCCGGATTTTATAGACGATAATAAATTCCATGAAATCTTCAATACATGCTTTTGGATCTGAGATGTTTGGGTACAATGTCATTTGAAGGTGAATGCGAAGCATACGAATCAAATTGTGACAGATGGGCATTAGGATCATGGAGATATAGTAATTCAACACAAAACCACACTGAACATTGGTGTGCCTATTTTATCACTTGCAATTTGTTTCAGAACAGGTTAAATAGGTTAAAAGCTGAACTTAGTATCATTAATGTTAATTCAAGGGACCTACACAGACGATTAACCTTCGGAGTCTTCATTTAATAATAATAATAGCATTTGATATAGCGCCTTATCATGTTGTCGAGTGGAGTCCTGTAGCGTATTGTGGAGTCTTGTAGCACATTTTGGAGTCCTGTAGAGTGCTCACCTTGCAAGCAAGAGACCTGGATTCAATTCCCAGCAGGGCGAAATGTTCGGCAAGTTTCCTTACTCCACACGCCTCTGTCTACCTGGCAGTAAGTAGGAACTTGGTTGTCAGTCGGTTGGTGGATCACTTTTCCGAGATAATAACCACTTCACAAAATTTGTGGGACACTGCTGTGCGCAATTGGCTGCCATGTTTCACCCACAAAAATATATAATCAATTAATTTTACACTATATATTCTGTGAAGCACTTTGAGACGTCTCATAGACATGATAAGGCGCTATATCAAATGCGAGGATTGTTGCTATTATTAAATGGGGGCAAAGAAATAGCAGCCCCATAGTGTAGTGGTTAGAGCACTCGCCTTGACAAGCAGATGACCCAGTTTCGATTCCTGGGCAGGGCGAAATCTTTGGCAAGTTTCCTTATTTCACACTCCTCTGCTTACCTAGCAGTAAGTAGGAACCCGATTATTAGTCAATTGGCAAATCACTTTTCCAGGGGTAATAAACCCTCCAAAAAAAAAAGAAATCATTCC